AATCAAGTAAACTCTTCTGAACTATTGTGATATTTGGATGAATCATCCAAATATCACAATAGATAATATAATTATAAAGAAAGTCAACGTATGGGTATAAACTGAAAAACTGCATGTACTGAATAATTATTCCAAATTGATACTCTGGAGCTAAGGTAATATATATATATAATTAAAAACCAGCTGCATGACTGTGTCGGGGTACAATTTCAAGAGAATATTGAATGGTTGGAAATGTATATTGCACTAATTACCTGCTTATTGTAAATTATAGTACTATGTCTTATTGACGCACTTTTCAATTCAATTCAATGGAGTCTTGTTAAACAGTAATACTAAGCAGATGTATTAAAAAGGCTGTGAATTGCCAAAAGTGATGTAGGCCTGTTAGTATTTTTTTTTTGCTTTAATTGCAGAGAGGGGGATTCTGTGACAAGCATTAGAACGAAGAAAAAGCCGAAATTGTGATTATTTATTTCGTTATATACCTTGCCATGAGTTTAATCTTCCATCAAAATGGATGAAAGTAGTTTTGAATCACATCTGTTAAAATGATAATTGCCATGAAGTGTGTTAAATTTAATTTAAGTGCCCAAGTATGTATTTCTTTAGCGTTTAGGATTTGACAAAAGGAAAGAGTAAAATTAAGATTCTTGGCCATAGAGAGTGAGAGTGAGAGAGAGAGAGAGAGAGAGACGCACACACACGCACATAGAGAAAGAGAAAGAGAAAGAGAGAGAGAGAGAGAACCATTATTGTCTTGAATTAGCAAAACCCCACAAAATGTGGTTCAATGAAATTAAATTTTCCCAAGAGAAATTTGATAAAGAGGCCAAAGGGTTTCAACAAAAACTTTAGTCATATTATTTTGTTGAAATAAAAATAAATAGAAATACAAGCAGAACCATCATTATATGCTTTGTGTAATGCAGTGTTTTCCAACCTTTTCTTTTTGGTCACGTCACCCTTTTAAAGCCCGTCTGCACTAGTTTGGCCAAGAGGGATTAGACCTCTCTGCATCACTGAAAGGTGGTTATCTCATCAAATAAACTCTCAATTAACATAAGGAAAAGGAGACCATGTGGGACCAATGGTCACCGATTAGGCATTGTTTGCTATAAAGGGGGCGCAAGTAGCTATAAGTAGTGCAGTGGGGCTTAAGAAATGGGTTTCGCGTATAGGCTCCCAAAGTTATCACAGCATATTAATTTCAGCCACTCTGTCAATCGTCAAGTGCCATGCAAACACATACGGCCACTTTCCCGAGCGATCAGTAAACGAATTGCATGTTTAATTATGGTACAACTGTTATTTTTTATAATCGTATTACACCATCAGTGCGTATCAATAACAAAAAAGTGTACCCAACTTTGGAAGCCTTTAATTGAAAAGTTATAACCTGTTTGACCATGAATCATAATTTATTGTAGAGAATAAGTAATACCCTGTCTAACGATATTATTTCTTTTAATTGAGCTGGCAAGGATGACTAAACAGCAGGCTTTTCAAAACGTATTTTAAAAATCATTTTGTACCAAGTTTGGGCTGAAGCAGTGAATGTGGGTCAAAAGCCATTATGTGTGCGTTATCTCATTCAAAAATCAAATGCTCCTATATTTGCATTGACTGTTAGGCAGCAGAAGAAAATAACGTCAACTCAAAATGTGAAATGGCGCAGTGGACAAGTAAACAGAGAGAACTTAGATAATGATGAGACAAGAAGGTAGTATAGGATGTTGAAAATAATTAAAGGTAGTCCTGTCGATTGAGATAAGGTTCTGTGAAAGGCTATAGTTACGTTCCATCATTTTAAACAATGAAACACTGAACACGAGGAAAAAGGATTTAAGACCAAAGAAGTACATGCATAATCATAATGGCCCGGTTCAAGAACACCTGGCCTACCCCCTGGACATCCACCCCCCGGATAACCATCCCAAGTCAACTACCCCCTAGGACAACCACCCCCAATAGAAAAACTACCCCCTCGGGCAACCACCCTCGAGGGACAACTACCCCCAGATAACTACCCCTAGGACAACTACCACCAGACAACTACCCCCAGACAACTACCTCTCCAGGCAACTACCCCCTACGACAACCATACTCTAGGACAACTACCCCCGGACAACTGTCCTAGGGGTAGATGTCTGGGGGTAGATATCCGGGGGGTAATTGTCATGGGGGTAGTCGTCCTAGAGGCTGGTTGCCCTAGGGGGTAGTTGACTAGGGCGGGGGTATCCGGGGTGGATGTCCAGGGGGATAGGTTTCCGGATACGGCCTGACCCACGTTGGTCCTATAACTTACTTATTTGTTGTCCGATTTGTCTCATACTTTTACCGAATTGTTTCTCTAATTTTTCTGCTTCTATATTGATTAAAACCAATTTATTATTACGGTGGATTTCCCCTTTAAGCCCAAACTTAGAACAAGGCGATTTTGACAACACTTTTTCAAGACCCGGGTGCTCATTCACCCGTGGCAGAAATATTAAAAATAGGGTATACTTGGACGGGAAATAAGTTACTCTTCATCATGAAAGCAATTCCAAAGTCATATTGGTTATGACTTTTCAATTAGGAGCTACCAAATTTGAGTACCCTTTTTATTGATACGCCCTACATAAAAGATATCAAATTATGTATGCGGGCACCTCGAATAATATATGAATACAATTATACAAATGTAATATATTCGGTCACCTCGAGAAATGAAAATGAGCATATTCGGGTACCTCGTTGCCCACAATTACCTGTTTCTCAATGTTTCGAGAAAGTGAAGCGAAGGAGCGTATTAAAGATGTAATTTCGATATAAAAGATATTCGGCCACCTTGCTGCACGTGTAAGGCAATGTTCGGGCACTAATTCGCTGTCAAATAGGATATTCGGGCATTTCGCTGCCCGGGACCATCCTTTTTTTAAATGGTGCGAGCGAGCGATCTAGAAAGACACTTTGTTATCCTTAAATTGTATTTCCTCATCGAAATACAATAGCGGTTTCTAAAAAAGTTATTTATACGAAATTTTACCTAATTCCAAAATAAATGTTAATATATCTATATTTCTCTCAAGGCATCCATAGTGAATGTCTTGCAGCAGCCCGGTTGTAAAACGCTGGTGTAAAGTATGGGGGAAATAACCACATCATCACATTATACTAAAACAATAATACATAATACTGACTTAATTGAACGTTTTTGTCTCATTTATTTTGCTGTTTTCTTTTCACCAGGTGTATGCATGGGAGGCAAGATTTAACAGTAGGGTTGTTTTTTCATGTAGTGTGGGGATAGAAAAAACAAACTATCCTATTCAACGGGTTCGACTCCCACCCAGGCGGATGACTGAAGCCTGCGTTGTTTGTTAACGCGTGCCCCTTCCCTTGTTCATAGATGCAGGTTATGTCAAGTAAAAAAACACATCGTTCCTCGGATAGGACGTTAAATGGAGGCCCCGTGTACAGGAGAGTCACAACCCTTGCACGTTAAGAACCCATTGCACTATTCGTATAAGAGTAGGGGGGAAACTCCGGTGTAATGGTCCACCTGCATACCCCAACCAGGCCGAGTAAATATGGCATCTGCAAGAATCTTAATAATGAAGGAGGCAGATTATCTTGAAGAAGAAAGAAGAAGAACTTAAATATTCCACACCCAACCCACCACACGGCTACCAAGAGGATACTCGCAGCATTATATAACGGGGATGTGCCGCTCCAATGCCGGGCTCCAATGGGTCGCTTTTTGCATCAATCCACTTGGGTTTTGACTTTGTCAAAAAAATCCCTACAATTGCAATTTTGTTTAGATCTTGGGTTACTATTTTCTTCAGGACAATCGTCCATGTTCTTGCTAAATAAGCGCAAATCCCAGATGCAATAAAAAAATTGACATGCTTTTTCGTTGGAACACTTTTCCAGATGGGTTTACAAGTTTAACGCCATCCAACCATCCGCCCAGCCCCCCCCCCCCCCTCTACCTCCATATTTTGCAACTTAGGCCTAGATCCATAATTATGTTAATTTTTATATTGATTGAGCCTAAGCTACGATTTACCCCTTTTCCTGTACATTTACTGTAGCACTGTGCATGTTGCTACGTCATCACCATCCTTTTTCTGAAGAAAAAAAGAACGTTAATTAAAACAGGGAGGTGAAAGAAAAGGAGGCGAAACTCTTGTAATTTATTCAAACGCATTCTTGAGTTCTAAAGCGTAACAATGGGATGTGTAACATTCCACTTGGCTTTGAATTTCCATGCTCCGAACCGCGCTTCCACTGCGGGGTCTTTCGGAAGCCAGGCTCCAGTTTTACATTTATTACAAAATATTAAATTACCGGCAAAATTTCAGTGCCAAATCAAAAACTTTTTATGGGGATTTTATTGGGAATAGTGCATCAAACAAATTTTCAAATTTAAAACTCCGTCCTTCCTTTAATTTGCGTGCCAGAGTTGGTAAAAGAAAAATTACATCCTGTCAAAAACTCAATATTTTAGGATGATGCGCTAATTTGTGCATGCTTTAATGTCCCGTTATTTGATCCATGGTTTACAATCTTCAATAACATTAAGTTTGCTAATGCGTGTTTTCGCGTGTTTTTTGTATTTTTCAAGTTTAAAAAAGGATGAAAGTACACAAGGTTGTGTTCGCTTGTTCTACTCTTTACACATTCAACAATGGATGAGAAATCATTGAAAGGGACAGCAAACAGTTGCAGTGATACCATTTTCTGATGTAGGAATTCTAAATCCAATTTCATGCTCTCTTTTATCTCACCACCTGGTCAACAGTTGCAGATTAGCGCATAACTTTTCGGCGGCTTGGAGCATGGGGTCAAAGGAGAGCGGCTTAATTCCAGTCCTTCTCTATCACGTCCCTGATTAAAAGTGACACTTTTCGCCAATCGCACACTCATCTGGCGCCGATAGGAGACACATCTCGCCAATAGAATGCGGCGAATTTATGTGTTTTCTTATAGACGTTATTTCACGGAGACACATCTCGCTGCGCGCGACACACAAGCTGCATTGCATACGTATGCCGATCGTGCGGGGAAGTACCTGTAGATCCTCTAGGCTCTACATCCAGAAATCTTTTCGAGTAATTTAGCTAGTCTGATTCTAAAAAGTTATTCACCATGGCAACGGGAGTAACGATCGCCGCTGGTGCTGTTGGTAAGGAATCGAAAATTACTTACTTTTCATTTCCAGAGATCAGATAACCTGTAGGCTGTACTCGCCTGCCGCCTGCGTAGTTCTGTAGCTATCTTCACGTCATGCCTACGCCTGGCCTAGCCGCGTAGATATTTGGTACCGTAATCATACCGTAGGCGTAGACTCTGACACCACCATGCACCAGACATATAGCTGGGCCGGTGTGACCGGGGCCCGTTCTCGAAAGAGTCGACACCAACGACAAGACAGTCAGGACAAAAGTTTTATCTGCCAACTATGGAGCTGAGATGTCCATTTGTCTCTGATCTTCTTAAACTGTTTCACGAACAGCTTACTAGCTAGACATCTCGTAAAATCGATACAAGTATCAGGGAGGTGTTCAAGAGGAGCCAAGATTAGAACTTTGCAAGACATGATATTGATGAGTCTAGTTAATTAGACTAGCTGGCTTAGCCTTTAATAGTCGCAATTCCACCGTTGACAGTTTAAAACACCAATTTCAAGAAGTTTACAAACAGTAAAGTCTAAATATTGAAAAAAATAAGAATGTTATGGTATGGAACTGTATAGTTTTTCATAATTTCATTAAACTGTAGAAAATATCACATAATGTATGCTTTATCCCTCGACTGTTCCTCATAATTTTGTTTATGAATTTCAAGTTTTTCTTTTACTGTACCTGGGCCTGTATAGGCCTACAATGTTCCATTATTTTACATTACGGTAAGGTAAGCAGTGGCGGATCCAGGGGTGGGCCGAAACGGCCGCGGCCCCCCCTATTGGCGAAGCAAAAAAAATTGAGAAGGAAAAAAGAGAAAGAAAAAAAGAAGGAAAAAAAAGGGGGAAAAAGGAGAAGATAAAAGAAAAGAGAACAAAAAAGTAAAGAAAAGAGAGAGAGTTCAAAAAAGAGGAAAGAAAAAGAAGAGAGGAGCCGGGGAGAAAGAAAGACAACGAAATGGCACTAACAATTAGTGACAGTAACGACGAATAAGGGAAAGACAAGGGGAAGGGGGGGGGGGGTGCGTGAAGGCGGATGCATTGAGGGGAGGGGGGGGAGGGGTGACTGGCCGTATTCTTATTTTAGATTATGCGAAACTGAGTCAAAATTATGCTTCTTTTCAAAACAATCTTAGCATGCTTGTTTATGTTAAGCCGGAGTGCATGAAAAGGTTAGTGTTGAAACACTTCTGAAAAGGCCGCACCCGGCCCCTCCAAAGAACGGCAGAATGGTAATCTATAAATTATGGGGTCATTCTTGATGGCTTTTGAGTCGTTATTAAGGAGGGGGCCGGCCCTACTCAAATGGTAGTGACCGTAACGATGGATAAGGGAATAAGGAGGAAGGGATGCACATGCAGGCGCGTACGCAGGGGGGGGGGGGGAGGGGGGAGGGGGGAGGGGGAGGGGGGAGGGGGAGGGGGAGGGGGGGGGGAGGGGGAGGGGGAGGGGGGGAGGGGGAGGGGGCTCGAACCCCCCCTCAAATTTTTGTCAAGTTGTCAAGTTGGTCCTGATGTGTATAATGCGTAGACCAGGGGTTCTCAAACTTTTTCTTTGACGGTCCAGAAGCGATTTCTATGAAAGCTGTAAGGTCCGAAATGACACTTGTATACTGAAGATAATGAGGCTTGTTTTTGGTCTATATCTGATCCAAGGAGAATTGTTACAATTTAAAAAATCAGAACCGCCAGTGCTTCCACTCGTTTAAATAGAGTTTCCTGAAAAAGAACACCCAATATCCTGGAATTTGAAAGAATTTTCTTACAACTTTCAAAATGCCTACTTGGATTTCTTATTTGGATGAATCGCTATGAGTTTAGATCCGTACAATATGGCACAGCTTTAGGGGCCTGGGAGATCCCCCACCGGGGGTTCCGGGGCGGAGCCCCAGGATGCTCTCGAGTTAATTTGACTTTAAAGAGCAAGTGTTTCTAAGATATAAAGAGAGATTATTTCTTCAATGAAGTTAAAGGACTCTTGAAAATAAAATAGCCCTTTCATTTCATTTTAGAAATAAACTCTTATCCATCCCTTGATATTTAAATTGCACTGCTCCTACTTCGTGCTTTGTTCACACTCTCCCTGTTCTATAAAGGGTGTTTTCTCTATTTGATCATCAACAGAAGCAAAATGCTAGGCCACGAACTTTTCGAAGCGTGACCAGATTATAAGTATGCTTAAATGGGGGCATTGATGTATGTAGAAAAAACAGGATTAAGATCCCATGCAACGCTTCGAAATTTAAAAGAAGAATAAAAAAAATAAAGTTGAGATTTCACCTTTATGTCTAGACGTTGCATAATGCAATTCGTTTTGGTATTTTAATTCCATCTCAGAGTGATTACTTCTTAAATGAAGTGAAAGGACTCTTGAAGATAAAATAGCCCTTTTAGTTTCATTTCATTTTAGAAATAAACTCTAATCCATCCTTTGATATTTAAACTGCACTACTCCTACTGTGTGCCTTTTCACACTCTCCCTGATCTATAAAGACTGCTTTCTTTATTTGATCATCAACAGAAGCGAAAGGCTAGGCCACGAACTTTTCGAAGCGTGACCAGATTCCAAGTATGCTTAAATGGGGGCATTAATGTATGTAGAAAAAAAACAGGATTAAGATCCCATGCAACGCTTCGAAATTTAAAAGAAGAATAAGAAAAATAAAGTTGAGATTTAACCTTTATGTCTAGACGTTGCAAAATGCAATTCGTTTTGGTATTTTATTCCATCTCAGAATGATTATAGAAGTTATTTTTTAAGGATAATAAAGATAAAGCTGTCCGGGTTTTTAAAGATAATGCGTCAAAACAAATCGAACAAGCTGTTTATTTCTTTATTCATGGTCTGTTTCTACTGTTTATCTATTTTCATTGCCAACCCTCGAAAAAGGAATTTAGTATGCATTTCACAGAGGAAGTTTGTATAGGAGAACTATATATATATATATATATATACAAATTATTCATTGGGCTTATTTTGCTTTCTAATGGATCCGTACAATATGGCACAGCTTTAGGGGCCTGGAAGAGCCCCTACCAGGGGTTCCAGGGCGGAGCCCCAGGATGCTTTCGAGTTTATTTGACTTTCAAGAGAAAGTGTCTCTAAGATATAAAGAGAGGTTATTTCTTCAATGAAGTGAAAGGACTCATGAAAATAAAATAGCCCTTTCATTTCATTTTAGAAATAAACTCTAATCCATCCCTGGATATTTAAATTGCACTGCTCCTATTTCGTGCTTTGTTCACACTCTCCCTGATCTATAAATAGTGCTTTCTCTATTTGATCATCAACAGAAGCAAAATGCTAGGCCACGAACTTTTCGAAGCGTGACCAGATTCAAAGTATGCTTAAATGGGGGCATTGATGTCCCGGCCCCCCCACTCAGTGTTATTTAGGGTACGCATATGCTCGTTCCCTCTTTTTGAAAGCACCCCCTATCTGAGGACTGCCAACATTTCCGAACCCCCCTTTCGCGGGCTTTTCGCGGGCTTTTCGCGGGCTTTTCCTGCCTTGGAGACCCCCCTAAATCATGAAAAATGCTCGATGTACCCCCCTAAATTCGGAATAATTTCTCAGGAGTCCAAAGAGATGAGAGAAAAAAAAAAAAAACACCCCCTTTTTAAAGAAATCTCCGGGTGAAAAGTCAAATACACCCCTTTTTTAACAATTCTCGGGCTGGACTTTGTCGCACGAAAAGTACCCCTTTACCGGACATTTTGGCAACACGCCTGCGGTCATTTCGAAACCTGAGTGGGGGGGGGGGGCCGGGATTGATGTATGTAGAAAAAAAGGATTAAGATCCCATGTAACGCTTCGAAATGTAAAGAAGAATGAGAAAACTAAAGTTGAGATTCGACCGTTATGTCTAGACGTTGCTTAATGCATTTCGTATTGGTATTATCTCCCGTCTGACAGTGATTAGAGACGTTATTTATATGGATAATAAAGATAAAGCTGTCCGGGTCTTTGAATATAATGCTTCAAAACAAATCGAACAAGCTGTTTATTTCTTTATTCATGGTCTGTTTTTACTGTTTATCTTTTTTCCTTGCCAATCCTCGAAAACGAATGTATTATGCATTTCACAGAGGAAAGTTTGCATATTGATGAAACTATGGGCGCAGGCCAAGATTTAAACCCACTCAAGTGTGAATTTGGCGCATCTTCACTCATCTTCTTCAACTAGGAAATGGACTTCATTGTAGCCTTAGGACAGGATGGTGAAATAAAATTGATAAAAGAACATCATAATCAGATTATCCGACCCCGGAAACCCCATGAATTCATCAACTTTTATCATACTGGTCCTTTTCCTTTTGAAACTACGCTTGACCTTTAACTCGGATGGCGGCCATTTTTATTTGGCCAATATGGCCAGCATGACAGCCCCAAGGAGACCTGCAATATTGATACAAGCAACATCATAATCAGATTCTCTGACCCAGAAACCCCCCTTACTATATAATTTTTTTTTATCATTTTAGCTCTTTTCCTTTTGGAACTACTATTGATCTGTAACTATCAAATGGAGGCCATTTTGGATTTGACCAATATTACCAGTATGACCCGAGGAGATCTCAAATCGATGAAAGAATATCATAATCAGATTCTCTGACCCCGAAAACCCCATAAATATATAAACTTTTATCATACTAGCCCATTTTCTTTCGTACATGTAACTACACTTGACCTGTAACTATCAGATGGCGGCCATTTTGGATTTGCCCAATATGGCATACCCAGAGGGTACCCTTCTTGGCGTCCGGAAGAAATCGTAAAAGTATGGTATAATCTACCTCTGGGCCAAATTTGGTGCTTTTAGAAGAATCTGCACCAAACAACCCCTATTTAGCCCTAACAGCCTCCACTATATTGACTATGTATATGTGTGGACTAGAGTACGGACATTCGGTGCGGCAGGCGGACTATTGGTGCGAGACCTCTTCCGCACGGATTGTCCGTCAGACATTTGAGGCGCGCACGGAATGTCCGACACGGACATTCTGCGCGGATAAAATCCGCACCGATCGTCCGCTCTCGATCGATCTCTAATAGTCGGACGATCGGTGCGGGTTACATTCTACGCGGTCACACCGGCCATACGTAAATGGCAGTGACGGTAACGACGAATTAGGAGGAAGGGGTGCATTGGGGATGATCATACTATCATTTTAGAGTGTGCAATCTGGGTCAGAATCCAGCATAATATATTTATAAAAAAGAGGTTCACATAAAAGCACTCATGATAAAGCCGCGCCCGGCCCCTACAACATCATTTTGGATTTTCAGATGATGGGGCGGGTGGCAGGGGTAGGGGGCAAAGTTCGCCCCACTCTTCAAGTACCCCCCCCCCCCAAGGGCCACTTTTACTTTGTAAAGAAGTGCCCCTTCCCCTTTTTAACTCGGATAAGCGCACATTTCATCAACACATGTGCCCCCTTTCCTATCTGATAAGGGCTATTTAGAAAAATGAGGCCCTTCATAAATAAAAAGTGTCTCTTTTCATCTCTGGTAAATGACCATTTTCATATATATGAAGTTAATTCGTTTCACTTCAGTGCGCTCTTCACCTCCGATAATTGCCCCTATTCGAATCTGAGAGATGCTCATTTTACCCCTTCCCCTCCTGATAAGTACTCTTTTCATCTATGATGGGTGCCCATTTTCACCTTTGCTAACTGCCCTTTAATTTTGAATCGTGCCCCTTTTCCTTTCTATATAGGGACCTATCCCCTTTTCATAAATGCCCCTTTTCACCTCAGTTAAATCAATTTCTGATGGATGCCCCTTTTCCGTCGACAAATGCCCATTTCCCATACTCATAAGTGCCCTATCTCATTTCTGGTGAGTGCCTCCTTTCAGGTGTAAGAAGTGCCCAGTTTGAACCTTTGATAATTACTCTTTGTACCTTGACACATGCTCCTTTTCTTTTCTAATAAGTGTCTTTATCCCTTTCGATATGTGTCCCCTTAACCTCTCATCATCGGGGGGGGGGGGGGGGGGGGGGGGCACGTGCCCCCTAACCTGCTCATCATTAGTATTGCACCTAATTTAAAGCGACTAAGAGTAATTTCCCCTAAAGCTCGCTCGCTCGCTCGCATTTATAGATGATACAATTATATGTCACTTTAAAACAAATGTTTTTTCAGTCTTTCGTGATGCTTATAACCCCATCATGATTTGGTTTTTTTCCTTTCTCTTATAAGATGTAATTTTTCACTCTACGACCTCACAGATCTTACTTTTTTTTTCTCGCTCGCTTTCCACGCTCGCAAATGAATATTCAGACAATCACACTTAGCCGAAAGTGTGATGCTTAAGCAATAACTTGTATGATATATAAAGAAAAACAAATATTGAAATCGTCCCTGATAATGGGATCACAATGAAAGGGTATACAGGGCGTATCATAATAAAGGATATTGAAGTTTAATGACGATTTATATGAAAACTACTGATTTCATAATCAAGCATTTATGTCTGTTGTAAAGGACAGAATGTCCTCTTTTTAATGACACCCGATCATACTACTACTGTCACAGTTGACTGAATAACAAAGCATTGCTGTCCACCATGTGAAAGGTGCACTGTGCCAAGTTTGATAACATTTCCTTCTTAGACACATAATCCACTCATTGTTCAGCATTTCAATATGTCTGGGCTGACACAAGCACTAGTCTTTGAATGCTAACTTGTCACAGTGCACCTTTCACATGGTGGACAGCAATGCTTTGTTATTCAGTCAACTGTGACAGTAGAAGTATGATTGGGGTGTCATTAAAAAGAGGACATTCTGTCCTTTACAACAGACATAAGTGCTTGATTATGAAATCAGTAGTTTTCATATAAATCGTCATTAAACTTCAATATCCTTTATTATGATACACCCTGTATACCAATGTCTACAAAAATGTATATTTTCGCTTTGAGATTTCGCTTTGTAGGTGCCCTTTTTTGTTGGTGCTTTCCACTTTGGAAATAGCTCCTCCGCCCCTGCTTGCGCATTAGCGCCAGCGTTAATTTCACGCTTGCGCGCACAGGGTGTGTGTGTGTGTGTGTGTTTGTGTGTGGGGGGGGGGGTTCCTCTCTAGCTCTGAAGCTGATTTTTTTTTTTTTACCTAGATTCGTGCGATTCGGTTAATACTTTAAGAGGGAGTCTGAGGGGTGATGTGCCCCCCTCTGAAGCTGACATTTTTTGGATTTTTGAAACTGGATTCGTGCGTTTGGGTTAACAGTTTTTTGGGGAGTCTGATTTGATTTCAAAACACCTGCAGTTAATGCGTGATGGTGTTGCAGCCTCTCTTTCCCCGAAAATTTAAAAATTACCAATATGCATTTGTTATATCTTATCTCGTATATTTTGGTGAAAATTAACACTTTTCACAACATACATAAGCTCAAATTTCCGCTCACTCGCTTCGCTCACTCACCAAATTATTAAACCAGGAAATAGATAGTGGGGCAAGAGGCTTCAGCCCCCACTGATGGAAATGTCAAAAAAAATTGCGCGCGAGCATAACTTGAAAACGGGGAATGTTGATATCGGACAAGAGATGTGACGTGAGCATGTCCCCTTTCCAAAATAATTGTGCCCGTTTGTAGGTACCAATACACTATTAAAGTACAGTGCTTCTAATATGACCTTGTCAGTATTGGTAAGTATAACGGTCTGCGCGAATTTCGAATTTCCGGCCCCCCCTATTGGAAAATCCTGGATCCGCGCCTGGGTAAGCAACATACATGTAGATAGTAGTGGTGATTTTGCTTATATTCCATAACTGGCATGAGGATTCAAGCCATCTTTCACATTCCTAAAGCAGAAAAGTGATATTTTGTAAAAATGTATGTACAAAACTGATAGAAGAAAGTATAAGGGGATGACATCATCAACTCCCTAATTCGCATTCATGAAATAATACGAAACTTTAGAATTCCATTACTTTGTTATTTTTTTGTCTGATTTTTATGAAAGTTTCTGTTATGTTTGTTTGATTTGTATCTATTTATTCAATTCAACTAGCAATCAGGCTGCACGTGCCCCCGACGCGCCCTTTAACTTAAAGTAAAAAGTAAGTCACATGGATGCTGAGTAACAAAGAGGATTAACTGAATAGTATAGCCAGACGGTCTTCCTTTTCCAAACTTTGATGCTGAGAAAACTTCCCAGGGTAAACAAAATTGTTATTTTTCTTCCTCTTATTATTATTATTATGTCCTCTTCGTTTTTCTGCTTCACTCAGGTGCTGGTGTTGGCTTGGTCTTTTTGAAGCGCTGGCTCAGTGGAGGTCGTTGTCATAGCAACGCTCGGATGGATGGAAAGACGGTCATCATCACTGGCTGCAATACAGGAATCGGCAAAGAATCTGCCAAGGACCTAGCTAAAAGAGGTAACTAGTTGAACAGATTTCCCTTCTCACTTTGGGTGTGGTGCAGCATGATGGTTGCAATTGTTTGTTTTAAAAGTTGAACCCTTAATTATTTGAAGCCATTGGCTTGGTATTTTTTTACCCTAAGTTAGTGTAAAGATAAAGACCAGTTATATGCGATTGCATTGTGAAAGAAACGTTGTGGAATCGATCAGAAAAGGTTGATCATCTAGCATATAAGTATTGGTGTGTACTCCAAGGTTCTGGAATCATCAAAATGATAAGAAATTTGGCCCAGTCTTGGTAAAGTTACAAGCACTGTACACAGAAAGATGTATATGGGACTACGCGACACGTGCGCGATGCCTATCAGGTCCAAATAGATAATTTACCAAATATATCAAATAGTATAGGGTTTCTCCGACTTTCTCGGCAAAATTTGTATCATCACGTATTAGTCAAAACATATTCTTTCACATGATTGGTAAAAAGAGCTTCCATTTCATTTTTTGAGAGGGGGGTGTTTCCAAAACTGGTTTTTACCTCTACGACAGGTCCTTAGCAGACTTATAAATGGCAATTATTGGAGGCAGTGTAAAGTCTACATTTACAAACAGGAGGTGGTGCCCACGGAGCAATCGGATCGTGGTCTGGCTCTCATAATTTTCGTCATGTCTGTGGGAAGGAAGATCGTCACACTGGTTTTCTTGTGTAGGTGATAATAAGCTGTGCAAAAAAAAAGCTGTAAAAAAGATTAACAGAAAGAATAATGATGGTGTTGTGTTCTTTTCAAGAAACTCTAGGTCTGTGCAAGATGTTGCGACTGAGATTGAGGGGGGGGGGGGGGGTTGTGGTCTTTAATTAGCAGGAGCTCAAAATAAGGCAGTACAATACAGGGATATGTGTTATTTTAAATCTGCCAATTAATATATTTTTTTTAAACAGTATTTCAAAAAATATACCTGTCCATGAGCCTTATTTATAAAATGGACCTTCAATCTTAATGTACTGATCGTTTAAAGAAACTTGTCAATACTCTAAACGTAATGTGCATGTACACTTGTGTTACAGAAGCCCCAAATCATTGACACATAAATTTTCTTTTTTTCCCCAGGAGCTAGAGTGATCATGGCATGCAGGAACATCGAGAAGGCCGAAGAAGCTCGACTGGACGTTGTTAGAGAGTCTGGCAGCTCCAATGTGCTGGTCAAGAAACTAGACCTGGCGTCCATGAAGTCCATCCGCGAATTTGCAGAGGATATTAAAAGAGAGGAGAAACAGCTCAATGTTCTGCTGAACAATGCCGGTAAGACAAGAAAAAGAAATATATCAAAGTTTGCAGCTAGTCAAAACAAATTAACTTGTGGTAGAAAGAAGTATACATTTTTCTTCATTGTTAAATTGGGGATGTTTTGCAATCTAAAAATCACCTCCTACAAATAGTTCATTATTGCATCTGGGGATTAAAAATAGCTTTAAAGTCGATAACTTGCTCTTAGTTTCATCGTTTATTCAAATGGAAAATTGGAGGGGGTTGAAACTTTTTTTAAATATTTTGTTTAAACAACGTACGTACAATGTATTCCAGTAATATTGAAATGAAACTCCTCATGATTTTATGTCTCATCTTCTCTTCTCATTCTCTCTGGCTTTTCTTTTTGTCCTATAATTGTGTCTTTGTCTGCATCTTTTGACTTCTCATTACCGGTATATATTCTGTTCTCTCCCGCTCTATTTGTGTGTCTGTCTGTATAATTTTCTCTAACTCTCAATATACCTTTCTCTCTCCCTCTCTTCATCTCCCTCTTTTGTTATCCCTATCATTCTAATTGCTCTCTTCCCTTCTTGTTCTGTTTTTTCTACCTCACTGTCTCCTCTCCCCATGTTCTCTTCCTCTCTCTCTCTCTCTTTCTCTCTCTCTCTCTCTCTGTCCCCTGTCTCCTCTCTCCCCCTGTCTCTTTGCACCCATCTTTTCACTCCCTCTCTCTCTCCTCTCTCCCCTGTCACTTCTCTCTCTCTTCTCTCTGTCCCTCTCTCTGTGTACTACGTCTCTTTTCCCCCTCTCCCCTTTCTCCACCCTGCATCCGCTCCCTCCCCCTCTCCCCCTCAATATCACTCTCTCTCTCTCCTCTATTCCACTTTGTAGGTGTCATGTTATGTCCTCAATGGGAGACTGAGGATGGTTTTGAGATGCAGTTTGGGACCAACCACTTGGGCCATTTCCTCCTGACCCTCCTCCTCCTCGACCTAATCAAGGCGTCGGCTCCAAGCCGCATCGTCAATGTCTCTTCCAATGCTCATCGTCGAGGCAACATGAATTTGGATGACGTCATGATGAGCAAGAAATACGAAGCTCTTCAGGCGTATGGACAGAGCAAGCTTGCAAACGTTATGTTCACGCGAGAGCTGGCAAGGCGTCTGAAAGGTGAGTCTTCTGCACTGTAAAACCAGACACTTTTGCACGCTTTGAATGTTTATGAATTTCACAAGTAATACAGGGCCCTTTTCAAACTCATTATCGACAACAAATTACACTTAAAGTTATAAGCTACTGAAATTGTGGCATTTATTTGGCAGGGAGCAAATTTGTCATAGATATTTGGCAAGTTTTGTGAAACAAGCCAATCTGTGAAAGTTTCATGCTGTGATGTAATTGTCTCACAACTGATACTTCACAAACAAAATCTCTTGCTCTTTTTTGAGAAAAGTTCCATGTTGCAAACATTTTCTGCTTTTATAGTATTATCCTAGTCAAATAAAAAAAGAAAAAAGAAAAATGCGGTTTGTTTTTCTGCCAAATTCACATAGACAAGAGATTAGTTAAAACTTTTATTCAGCAGAGATTTTTTTTAATTGGGGGGGGGGGGAGGGTTGGAATAGGTAGGCTCCCATAATTATAATAATATCATAATAATAAATACTTATCAAGCGCACTTATCTAATAACTTACTCAAGGCCATATATCGGAATGGTTGAGAAGATGAAATGAAACTTAGCATTGAGGCTTGTTCAGAAATATGGCACAGTAATTGCCGCCCCAAAAATATCACCTTTTTAAAGAAGTGTAAATGAACGACAAGTGCGCTCAACTAAGGACTTGCACAAATTCACTGATCTCTGTGTTATAAGGTACAGAAACGTGAAGGGTATTACACATGAGGTGCCCTTACATCATTAAAAAAAAATGTTGCAGTTTTTCTGTGTCATATTTGAACGCCCTGTCTAAATCATCAGGTGGCAAAGTGAAATAATCGTTACTTGCAAGATAAAAGCACCATTTTTGGTATAGGGCTTCCTTAGGACCGACCTACTGAATGTTTTTAGAGTAGGAGCCCCAGGCAAAAATATCATATAAGGGTGTGGGGCGGGGGCATTGCCTCGTAGCCCAAAATTATTTTAGAAGGAAATATATAACATTGATTTGTTGTTGTACTAATGCCATTTTTGGTACAGGGCTTCCTTAGGACCTACTGAATGTTATTAGGGTAGGAGCCCCGGCAAGAATATCATATAAGGGTGTGGGGCAGGGGCATTGCCTCGTAGCGCCAAAATATTTTAGAAGGTAATATGACATTGAGTTTTTGTTGTAAAAACGCCATTTTGTGTACTGGGCTTCATTGGGACCTACTGAATGTTATTAGGGTAGGAGCCTCCGGCAAGAATATCATATAAGGGTGTGGGGCGGGGGCGTTGCCTCGTAGCCCAAAATTATTTTAGAAGGAAATATATAACATTGATTTGTTGTTGTACTAATGCCATTTTTGGTACAGGGCTTCCTTAGGACCTGCTGAATGATGGTAGGGTAGGAGCCCCTGGCATACATATAAATATACTAGTATGTGTAATTGGGGGCCCCATGGCGTATGTACATGTAGCACTCTGGCATATATATCGGATAACCATTTGCACCTGGGTGGATAGTGGCAATAGTGGATTAATGTCTTGCCAAAGGAAGTTAGTGCCGGGCTGGGATTTGACTTTCAACCATTGGATGGAGAGTCAAGTAAATGAACCACTCTACCACGACACCTCCATATAATTTATTTGAATTCAAAGATTTGAAGAGCTTAATAAGTAAATAGAGTTGTTATTTTTCTTTTAAACATTTTTACCGGTAGGTGTTTTGTACATTGCTCACACGATAATGATAAGTTGAAGAAGTAATCAAATAATCATTAATTACCTCAAAAACTTCCTGGAATATCTTCTGATGTTTCTTGTATAAGCGATAATTGAAAGACATATTCATGATATTCCCCAAACTAAATACCAAACTAATATTTGCCAGTGGTGATTTCACTGTGAGAGTATGAGTTTGAATGAAATCAATGGAAAGGTCTGTCATGTGCAGAAGGGGCCATTGTACACTGATGCAACTCAACAAGCTTTCCTTGTAACATTGGAAAAGGGTACGTACATGTTGCAAAAGCAGTCATAACTTTAATCTCCTCCTCCTCCTCCCTGGCTACTCCTCCCTCCCTCCTCCCTCCCCTCCCCGAGTTACTACTGTCACATTATCTATGACATTTCATTGAGAATGGTTATGTATTTTTAAGTTGTTGCAAACTTTTGTTGCAATTTTGTTGAGACACCCTGTATTCACAGTAATTGTCAATCTGTTTCCTTTATCAGGAACGGGTGTGACTTCATACTCTCTGCACCCAGGGGTCATAAACACAGATCTTGGAAGGCACTTTGGGACTTACGCCTCTTGGGCCAAGCCATTACTTTTCTTCACCAGCCCTTTCCTAAAGACATCGGAGCAAGGAGCCCAGACCAGCATCTATTGCTGTGTGGATGAGAAGGCAGGACAAGAGACAGGACTCTACTACATGTAAGATTTCCAGTGGCCCTTATGTTATTATTAGAGGAAGTGGTAGTGGGAGGGGGAGGGAGAGGGGAGGGGGAGGGGAGGGAGAGGGGAGGGGGAGGGGAGGGAGAGGGGAGGGGGAGGGGAGGGAGGAGGGAGAAGCGAGGAGGAGGAGGAGAAGCCAGGAAGGAGGAGGAGGAGGAGAAGCCAGGGAGGAGGAGGATCGAGGTGTCAGGGAGGCAAAAAGCAAAGTGAATCACTGTAACCCTCGGGTCTCTCCTCCCGGTATAACTGATTGGGGATGTGCAGGTGGACCACTACACTAGGGTTTCCGCCTACTCTTATATGAATAGTATAGATATATCAACTGCTATGAGATGTCTGGCTGTTTTTATAGGCTCAATGGGACGTTGCATCCTGCCATGACTATCGGCGCGCCGCCCACCCAGGCACCCCTCAGGGCCATGGTAGGATGCAACGTCCCAGAGAGCTAGTATAGAAATAGCCAAAACTTGAATATTAAAGCAGTCGATATGTGTCTTTTATATACGGAATTGACATAAAAATCTTATCCTTATCCTTTTCTTGAATAAAGATTGGATAAAACATCACAGAAAATCTGAGACACTGTCTGTTAATCTTCACTGGAAAGATGACTGAATGTTAGAATCATTTGGGAATTTTAACACATAATCCAAACAAGATCTCATCAAAATTGAACTATGCGGCCCATTAACCGGGGCCTCCAATATGTTGAGTTCGGTTCATGCAATTGCATTGTGTAACTGTCTGAAACATACAATGTGTTCATGTAATTGAAAACTTACACTAACAATATCAGGATAGATAAATAAATCTTCTGTTCGATTAAATGACGTTGAGAGTTGGCTCCCATTAATCCTGAATCCTGGTCTTCTTGTCTTTTATATCCAGGGATTGTGCTGCGACCGAACCCATAGAGAAAGCCAAGGATGATGAGGTAGCAAAGAAGCTTTGGGATCTCAGTCTTAAGCTGGTTGAACTGGAAGAGTAAGGAGCTTCGAGATCTCCTACTCATTGGGTGTATTCTTCTAAAATTTAAAGGGGGTGTACGTAGCATGACGAGACTACGTGTCTTTCCCGTGGACTGACTCGGGGGCCAATCGGGTATAATACGACTACAGACGACGCGACCACAGTATTCACGTGTGTGCAACATACGTGAAACCGAAGCGTGAGGATAGAACTTCAGTACCTTTCACGAACACTAACACATGCTGACCGTTAATCAAGTCCATTCGTTTACGTGCAGATCGATGTCCAAAAGAAGTCGTAGATGGCGTTAACGAGTATTTGCCATGCTACACCCCCTTTAAATCTGATCGGGTTTAACCTTTCGTCCAAAATCTGGTTCAGCAAAGGAAGGCAGTCCGAGGTCTAAGTTTTCCTTTTGGTATTAAAACATTATCTCAGGCATAGGATCTGGTTATGCTGAATAAGTAGTATACAGACCAAAGTGGTAGGAAAAAAGGGAATGATCATTTTCAATCTCAAATCGGTATGAATAATTAAATCAGCTTTAGGATCACCGACTCAATTTGCTTAGTTAAGGAGAATAGGATCTTGAGAAAAATGGGGTAGGATGTATGAATATTTATTTGATCATGGTCTTAAAGTGTTGAGACTTTAAAAAAAGAAGTTTTAATTGAACTCAATTGATATTTTATGTGTACTCACTGAAGGTGTTAGAGAGTTTTGTGAGTTCATTATCAAAATATTTTGGATGGGGGGGGGGGGGGGGGGGGTCGGCAGAGGGCTGCTCGATTGGAAGGAATGGAAGATTTAAAAAGTTTTGGAATTTCAATTAAAAGTGGTCTGATAGATAGAATGGGATGCTTATCCTTCTATTTTGGTTTTGAGGCTGTTAAACTAACTGGACATGGAATAATGAAATGCATTTTTAACCCGTCTAGTTAACTTTTGGTGCTAGCTGGAAAACCTTTACAGGGTATGACAAGTAGTATATGTGCAATTAGTATTGCATATATTTGAAGCTCCATCTTAAAGTATTGCCGCACAGCATAGAAGTAGACCTGTTTACACTGAGAAAATTTTTCGCGTAATCAGTAAAAACTAATCATTTAAGGGTGCCTTTGCCAATTCTTTTATTTTCTTCATAACGGTGCAAATCATGACTTAATAAAGCATTTTTTTTGTTACAAATTTTATGGTAATGATATTTATATATATATATATATATATATATATATATATATATATATATATATATATAATTATATATATATATTCCATTAGTGATGGTTTTACTTTTACAATGTATATTATTTGATGATAAAGAATTGGATAATTGGTGATATATCAATGAAAATATAAAAATATTATAGTAATCTGATGAGGGTGGGTACCATCCTCTCTGTCTTGGATCTTGGCTTTGACCAAATCTTTTCATCTATTAATTCTCTTCAAATGTTTATATTATGTTGTTTGAACTATTGTGTTAGATGTACCAATTCAGTACTATGATCTTCTTCCTGCATGTTAATAGACTAATGGATGAGGATGATTTAAAATGTAAAAATACATCTTTATTATTATCATAGCTGTGTATAACTTAATGCCATTTACATGCCCTCATAAAAGCTTGCTGCTCAATGATTTTTCTAAATATTTGAAGTCATTATGAATTTAAAAGGGAAATTTTGATCCCCCTCCCAATGGTATGTTCCCATTTTAACAACTCATATGTAATTCAATTTTTTATCTAATGTGTTAAAAAAATTGAGAATGATCCTATTTGTTTGGATTGAAATCAATAAAATTTGAATTTGAATATTCATGAATGTTGAATGAGATGCATCAACCCTTTCCATGCTGTAGGAAGCAATTCTGCCAAACAATTTGGGTGCTGAACAATGTTTGTGGTCTAAGAAAGGATTTATTTTTCTCCATGCAGCAGAACAAGTTCCGTCATTGCAAATTTAGTCCCATTGAAGAGTTATTGTGCCCACTTTATTACTCAAACATTATTAATGAAAATATGAATATATTTTTTAAGGTAATCTGTGAAATTCTTTAAAAATCTTGTGGGTGGTATGGATGGTGTCTGGTCCAGCGACTTATGGAAGGCCAATAGTGAATAAAGGACCAATTTTGTTTTAACAAAATTACTTTTCTATTCAATTGTAACTTTTGGAGGATGAAGTCTTGCTAAAATTTGTTTTGTTTTTCTTTGATGATCATGTAATAGAATGTAATTTTTTTCAGGAATTAAATTCAAATGTGTGTGAATATATCTTGATAATAAATGACAATATTTTTTAAATATTTTTAAAGAATATTGATTATTGTTATTTTTTTGTATGCAGTTTTGTAGAGTATGGGCAATATGCCATGCACAGCTCAAGATTTTCAAAAAATAAAATCTAAAAACTCCTGCCTCATAGCCTTCACATACAATTATCAACTAAATTATTCATTCCCAAATACCAAGTTTTTTATTTTTTAAGTACCGGGTATGTGGGTGTGCACCTTCCATTCTTGAAATATGAAACACAAAAAACATCAAATTTACAAGCGGTATGAATAATCAAGTATACGAAACACATACATGTACACACTATATTTGTCAATGACATGTACATTCAAAGACTGCAAAAATGAACATTTAGCAAAAGTTTGTTTCAGTGTATGTTTATTTAGCAACAACACACTATAAAACAAATATTGGATTTCTCACAACAGTGATATCAAGGTTTGTATCAAGGGTAACACTAATATATACATAATGGACACAAAAAACACTGACAAGTATAGTGAAAAAATATTGCATCATTCTATCGCTTTGTTTCCTCTCAATGCATGTATAATACAGTGTTGATGGAACACATAAAACAAAGAGGATACTTATGTATTGCCTACAGAAGTGTATTCAGGATTGTGTGTGGGGGGGGGGGGGGGGTGGGTACAACAGAAATACTTGAAAACTGCAAAATTCTTCCCTAAGGAGCTTCATGTACATGTAATGACAACTTACTTTCAAGGGGAGAGAGCCACAGAGAGAGAAAGAGAGAGAGAGAGAGGGGGGGGGGGGAGAAAGAGGGAATGTGTCGTTTATTTAAATTTATGTTGGATACTGGTAGTTGCTATATCAGGCAATATTTAGGGGGATCATGCAACTTTACAAAAAGTAAAACAGAGATATACATCAGTAAACTGCGTGTTATACAGATTTACTGTAGGTCCAAATGTAAACAATTTTAGATAACCGACGTGCACATGTCATGTATCACAAATTCTAAAATAAAGAAAAAACGCATTTCTTGAGACATTTCAGTAGCTTAAATAACAATCATCTTATCTTGTACTTGATAACAAGTTTTGTGGAACAGGGCCCAGGTCTAGGAGACCGATTGTCACTTGCCCTTGTGCCCAATCTAGAACACTTTTTACAGATGAGCCCTCTTTCGGCGTGAGTAATTCATTCTGTCTATGAACATACTTTACATGTTTATGCATATAGTACTACAATATTTACACTTTAGTTTCCAACACTTTTCTATACAGAAAGTAAACCATGCATGGAAATGTACATATCATCAGTCATCCATCATTATAATATTGCACTGTGTTTTGATGATGGTAATGATAGATATCTAACTTTGTAATCTGTTTAAAACTCCTTCATTTTTACTCGTTCTTTCTAAAATGAACAGGTATCTTTCACATCATTTCAGCATTGGAAATCATAATGTGTTAGAATGTATAATAACATTTTGAAAATTAATTAGAACTTCAAAAAATTATATCACTTTGGCACATATCTTCAAGCAATTTGAGATTGATTCAATTTCAGTGTGCACTGAATCTATTTTTCCCTTCAATACAGTGTAGTACGTGCATGTGGTCTCGTTCGGACATCAACCAGCTCCATATAAATATATTTCATATTATCAAATACAAAAATAAATTACAGCTCAACATATACATGTATTATATATGCAAAATCATTATGAAAGAAATACCACATTAAATACAAAATGCAGTTGTATAAGCCATGTAACAAGGATGTTACATTAAGTACATTTTCAAGACTACAGTTTCTGCCTTAAAATGCATGAATACATGAGATGGAGGGTACGTGAATAGCCAAATAAAGTTGATAAGCTGAATGTTAGGTACTCACACTGTCAATGTGTAAAATCTAAACAGAATAATAATTCATCTTGTTACATCCATGCATTTCAATTTCTCTGTCAAATTCATGAATGTCTAAAAGTTCTGAATACATCAAAGATCTTTGCAAACCAGTAGGAACCTAAACTGGTAATCAATACATCAGAGTAGAAAAGTACTTTCTGTTCGCGGATCGGGCGTTGTACACGTGCCATTTTCTCACACTGTTATTTAAGTATTACATGTATTGTTTTGTATTTAACACAGCTACAATACTTACCAAGCCCATGTATTTTTTCAGTACACTACATGTAGGTCCAATAAGTAATAAATGCATTAAAAAAGTCATTGAGGTTATGCTTCAAGAATACAAAGCAAAATATAAAATTGGACTACAAAACACAATACTAAATCATTCATATCTTGCGTAGTTGCGTATAAAAATACAAATCTGCAGCATAACAAAAGCATATGGTTAAAAATGAATTCCTGAATGAATGCACCACGGAACATGAAAAGTAAAAGCAACAATGCATGATATGCATCTTGTGTGCAAATGAAACAATTCACAGGTAAATAAACTGTAAGGTTAAGAGCCATGAAGGTTATCGTCATAATACCAAATCAAACTAACTTTGTATCGTTGTCAATTGGGTAATAATGACATTAATTACTAATATCAATATCAGGGAAAATCCGCTTTTCTTTACTACCTGATAATTTTGTTTTTTAATTATTGAAGAAAAAAAAACAAAAAACCCAAACCTTTCACATCCTGTAACATATTCAAATACAGCAGTCTACATGTATGTATGTATAGCTATGAAAGGCTACATGTACATAGTGGTTAAAAAAAATGATGATACAAACCTTGCGAAGTACGTTTATCAGCTGGCAGTACTAACAAGGTAGGTTTTAAATTATTCAAGCCTAGAAGCAAGATAACAAGTTTATAAACTGCATGCCAAAGCAATTAGTCAGCAGGAATTTGTGTATTAGTATTACAAACTGAAAGGTCGACTTACAGTTATAAAAATAATTTCAATATTCTTTAACAAGTACACTGTACATAAATTACCAACACAAAAGGATAGCAAGCACCATCGTCATGTTTTTCATTCATACTACATTTATAAATGTTGGTCCACAATGTGCAGAGCTTTTTTCTTTTACCTTACAGAAATAAAAGTACTGGTTCTATCAATAATGCATTATATTCAAATAAAAACTTGAGCGAATCGTTGAAGAGTTTTCGTAGCTTTTCAGGGAGTCTTTGAATTTTTAAAAGCTGGGTTCCTAAAACAATGGATCTGAATCTTCTTCCGAATCATCCCAACCACTCGATTCAATCGGTGGACCTTCCTTCTCAAAATCAATCTCCACTTCATACTGGAATCCAGGATCACCGGGTTTCTTACGGTTCTTCTCGAAAGTCTCGTCCATGATTGCCTTCTTTTCACTGAGGGCCCCGTCATCTAGCGTGTTGAGGTTCTCGTTCGGATCGATGACGACCTCCATCTCCTTCTCCACCTTCTTGATGGCGTCGTCGAGTCGTCTGCCGTCCTGGCGTTCCTGGATGACCTTAAGGAGCTTCTCTAGCTGCCGTCGGTTGATCTGTTCAATCAGCTCCCGGTGCTTGGGCTTTACCTTCAGGTCCTCGATGGCCGCGTCAATGTTGGACTGCTTGGTGAATTTACGAAGGGGCAGTGACCTCTGGCGTTTCTTGCCGGACCGTTCATCGATGTATGTCACGATCAGGGTAGGAGGATCCACCCTTATTCCACATTTCTTTGGCACAAGGGCCATCCTGATTGTCTTTGTTGCTAATAATCTAGCTTGAATCCTTGGGATAAGGCTCAGGTCTGATCGAAGAAGAAGGAAGCAAGACCAACACTATCTGCACCTGCAAATGCAAGACAAAAATGTTTTAAACATAAACTTCATGTATGTAGACCTAGATCTAGTCTATCCATAATCAAAGTTTTTAGTTTTTACGGGCTAAACATGATTATTGTTGGTAGACTAGACTAATAAAGTAATAATATATCACTGACTGAGCCTAAAAATAAAATGATTTAGGGTCTAGAATCTAGATCTAGATCTAGATCTAATAAAATTAATAATCAACGACTCCTGCATTTGTCTAAATTACATGACAGATTCATGTTCTCTAGAGTCTATGCATCATTGCTAAATATTACTTAGTTGGGCAGAGACTGTAGAATTACCAAGATATGAAACATTCTTTTGTGCCTGTATCAGACTATCAGAGCACAACACAATTAAGCCCAACCCATACCCACCGGGGCCAGCGGCAAGGGGACGCCTAGGCCGATGGGGTTGGCTCCCTTTGACTGTTCTTTCGTACAGCCGCCAGTCACAGATGTCTACACAACAGTGCGATGACTGCTCCGCTGTGTTTTGTTATCTTTACACATTCTTCTACATGTACAATTCACACATGTAATTAAAATGTACAATGAGAGATAGTACAGTAAATCTTTCTTAAACCTACCTGGTATCTACTAGGGATCAAGCAAATCAGTGGAATTTTGGCCAAGAAATACAATTTTGTTCCGATCAACAAATTTATTTTATTAACTGTGATGGTGAACTTGAAGGTAAAACAAAAATGGAAAATAAAAGCGCAAATTCAGCTCACTTTAGAAATTTTACTTGATATAATGTATTTTGCTTTTGTACATTGTGTTCGTCTCTTCCGACAGTTAAGCCGAAACTATAACTAGAAGTATAACTTGGCGTGACTAGAGTATACATTTGTGTATTTCAGGGGTTATGCTATTTGGTTTAATTGTTGGGTTGCTGAAGACTGCTGGATTTTATGTCCACGTTTGGTTGCATGAGGTAGGTCATTCCAGAGTTTATAAACTTCAGGGAAGAAGGATTCTGCGAATGGTGTTGATGAGCACAGAAAGACGGTTAACTAATGCACCAATTTTATTTGTAGACAGTTAGCCCGTAAATCAGGTCTTCCATGGCCATAATTAAGAGAAAAAAGAAAGAGAAGGAGGAGAAGAAGATGAAGAAGAAGAAAAGAAGAAATTAAGCAGATCAGAAAAGAAAAGACAAAGGAAAAGAAAAAGAATAAGAAAGAGGAAGAATAAGAGGAAGAGGATAGAAACATGAAGAAGAATAAAAAAGGATGAGAAGGAAAGGGGGGAAGAGGTAGTAGAAGGAGAACAAGAAAGCGAAGGAGAAGAAGAGGAAGAGGAAGAAGATGAAGAAGAAGAAGAAAAAAAACTATTCATTCAATATGATCTTAATGTTGTAATACATAGCAAAGACATGTCTGTTAATAATCATCTTGTTTTCTTTGCTTTTCCTTTTATTATATCTCATCTGCTATCTAGTGACATATAACATCTCTTTATCTCTCTCATGGAGAAGAATACAAAAAGATGAGAAGGAAGAAGTGGAAGTAGGAGGACAAATGACAAAGAATAAGGATACGGAGGTAGTAGAAGGAGAACAAGAAAGAGAAGGAGAAAAAGAGGAAGAAGATGAAGAAGAAGGAAAAAAAAAACTATTCATTCAATATGATCTTAATGTTATAATACGTTGAAAAGACATGTCTATTAATAATCATCTCAGGTTTCTTTGCTTTTCCTTTTATTATATCTCTCTCATGAAGAAGAATACAAAAAGAGTAGTAGTAGAAGAAGGAGAACAAGAAAGAGAAGGAGAAGAAGAGGAAAAGCAAGAAGATGAAGAAGAAGAAGGAAAAAGACTATTCATTCAATATGATCTTAATATTGTAATACATAGCAAAGACATGTCTGTTAATAATCACCTCATGTATTTTTTGCTTTTCCTTTTATTATATCTCATCTGCTATTTTATAGTGACATGTAACATCTCTCTCTCTCTCTCTCTCTCTCTCTCATGTGAAACCAACTAAATAAACAACAGCATTACAACAAAATATATATTTATATATATATATTTTTTTTTTTTTTTATTGCTTTGTAAAAACTGACTCCAAGTGCAGCCAGACTTAAAGTCCATCTCTGTTACCATGACATTCTATTGTGAAGTACATGAATTCAAAGATGAAGAAAAAACTTCTTACTTTACCGAAGAATCTTTGCAATACCCATAACATGATATCAACCTAGGTAACCAAAAAAAATTGTGTTTCCCTTGAGCAATCGCTATAGACAGTTTTGGCTGTAGTTCATATTACCAAGATTCTGTTTAAGTCTATAGGATCTCCTGAGAAGGTTTTTTTTTTTTATTACCAGTAATTATACAAAAAATACACAAAGATAACTTGAAATTATGCATTCAATTAAAATGTGCAAAGTTCACTCACAAGCAAAGTCAGAGCAATTAGATGCAAGGCATTCATTTAACATAATGTAAATAATTTATAGGCATGGTAAATATTTTTTCTCTACATTTTCTACAATATTTTTGGAAATAAATCATTAAACATATCAAGACAAACTTGGAAGCAGTAGGGAAATGATATAAGACAGCAATCTTATAGTGTTAATCCATATCAACTCTTAAACCATTCAATATCCTTTTAAAGCCAATATAATTTAGAGTGAATTGGACAAATAAGTGGCTGATAACTTTGATTCAAAGTGACACAAAACACAGATGAAATGAAGAAAAAGCAGTGTGCATCGCAGTCCTCTAAATACTGTACATATCACATCATTATCCACACATGCAATTTATATTGCTGTTTAAAAAACATTTAGAGCATGCATTTTAACAAAGTAATTTTTGATAAGTAACAAGATTTGTGATTGCATTAGATTTAGTATTGACATAATAAGAAGCATAAGCTGTAGGGCTCCACACTACTTTTTTCACCATGGATCTCTAAAATTGGGGCCATTTTAGTTTCCACAATTTGGGGAGTCTAGATACATTTTTTTTTGAGGGGGGGGGGGGGGGACAAGTGCACCAGACACATGTAAGTGTTGAGTCTTGATCATAAAAAGAGAGACTTAGGAAGAATGAGCAAGATGGTTTAAAAATAGATCTGGTTAATCTTTTTCTTCTTATTCCCATTCGAGCTGGGTAGAGCTCATGAGTCCTTCTGAGTAGTCTTCCAATAGATGAATGACAACACCAACCAACATTTACGGTGGAACATTTAGGAGAGCATCGGACATCCCTTTTCTCTTTGGTTACTTTTCTCCTCATTATTTCATTGATCACATCAACAACAACAACCGTTGTCAAATTCAAGTCTCTAAATAGTTCAAGGAGCAGACGATGGTCAGTGTCATCATAATTTCTTTCCTTGACTCTCCAGGTAGTCCTTGGCTTCGTTGATCTTGGTTGCAAGATAAGGGGAACCACCTGCAAGAGGGGTAGAAAGAAACAATATGCACAGATGAGGTATAATTTGACAGTTTTTACCATCAAGCTTACCTATGTACATGACTGTATCACAATTAAACAGGGTTGCATAAACAAGTATTATGATTATTTTTCAACTTTTCTTTCCATCATTGTCTATCTTGTTTAAATGGGTCTAATTGGATTGAGCGTTTCAGTTCATTTACCTGGCTTTTAATTGATTGGTATTATCACAGCAGTTTCCTCTACATACAAGAAATTGTTGTATATGCTGTATGAATGTATCAAACAGCTTTGGACTGTAATAACTTATCAACTTTTGCCTCCTGTAAAAAGTATCAATATTTCTTAAATTGTAGCCAATGTCAGCCATGTGCTATAGCAAGAAGCAGAACAGCATATATCGAATGTTAAAAGTGCCAGAAGTGTGTAAACCCTGTTGCAAGGAGCTTTTAGGCATAACTCTTTGCCCTGCGTAAAGTATAGGAGTTACTCAGTTAGTGCAATACTGGCCCCAAAAGACAATATGCTTTTTTCTCCTTTTAATACAAAACAAAACTTTGAAATAAAAAGGCAAACACTAATTGAGATCACAAGAAGGTAAAGAAATCCATTTTCCAACTTATGTTCTTACCTCTGTCAGGATGGTTTAGAAGCATGATCTTCCGGTGCGCATCCCTTACTTTACCCCTGGCTGCTGATGCACTGAAATGGCAATGTTTATTAGAGGTCACATTAATAGTCCGTTTTATTTTGCCTTGTAAGGACAAAGTATGAAATTCTATATATCAAAAAACCCAGTTCAAAGTTTCTTGGGAATGAGCCTGATGTACAAAGTGTTTGCATTTTGTCTGTTGCTGACACTAAACATTTTATGGTTTCTAATTTTAGTAGGTTTAACCATTACATATTCATATGCGATGATTGCAATCATATTTTAACTCATTTGATGCAGATGATATCCTACACAATGAAACATAAAGCAGCTCACTAATTTCAGTAATTAATTTTCATAAAGCCTTCTCAGAAAGTTTTTTAAGTTTCAAAATTTGACCGTTATTGGTCAAGGTGAGGTACATGTAAGTATTCAGTTGTCTTCAGTTGTCTTCAATTAAATCATGGTCATCTGTCTGGCTGAAGAAAAAAAAATCCATTATATACTGTTCACCTAGAAATTCAAAAATTTTCATTAATGGAAAATTTTGATAAAAAAAGTAAATAATTATTTACATTTTTTATCCAAAAAAAAAAAGCAATTATCTATGAAATATAATTTTAGAAACAATTTCATCCATAAGATGAAAATAATATGTGAATTTCTAATAACATAGGTTATCTTTCGATGGTGGAAAAATCCCAAATCGATATGAGATTTCTTGACAAAGCAGGCTTTTTTTGTCAACATTCTGGGTTGATAATTTTTGTTTAATTCTTTAAAATTAGAGAAAATTAACAAGTTAATCATTACATTTAGGATTAACACTCACCTTACTCCCAAAATCAAACTTGCTTCTCTCTTTGACATCTTGGGTTCAAATCCCCCTTTGTAATAGGTGTTGAAGTTCTGTTGAATACAGGAACAGTTAAACAAAAATTATACATTAGATTAAAGGGATCATTTAACAATGTTAAATCTGAGATACACGGTCCTACATGTTACCAGTGTCTGTGATATGGTGTAATATTTAAGCCCTATAAAAATCGCGCTTCAAAATGATCAAGATGTGCCTCAAAAAAGCAAAAATCTTTGAGTGACCGGTTTTACCATACTCGTTTTCCCCAATAGACTGTAGTGTTATGAAAATCGTTCAGCGAACGGTTTTCAAAATTTGTAAATCCAATCATTAATATCTTGATAATCAGACAGGCGATCGGCTTGTAGTCATGAAGTTCCTGACTGACCTAAAGGTTTATAATTATCATTGCAGCATGAGCTTAATCAAGGATTATTTCTAAAGGATCTAAGACAAAGTTACTGGATCCCTTTAATATTTATCTTGAAACCTCAATGTTATTAGTAAAGCAAAAAGGTTACTTTTATACCCAGATATTTACATGTAGCACATATACTCTGCTTAAAAAGTAAGCCCCCCCCCCCCCGGGACTATTTTCAATATAAATTGACAAACTATGATTAAGTTTGTTTCTTTAAAAAGCAAAGTATGCAGAATTGTTATCAAATACATGTACATCTAGATTAGTTACAAGTTATCAATTGAATGCATTTTCATAATAAATAAAATTATGGTTTCTATTACAGTTGGTAGTACACGACTTGGTACTTGAAATAAAATTGCATTTTTTGTTACAAAATGCAATGGAGGAAGGGTGTACATTGCATTGTGGATACTCTTTAAATTTCTTTTGTTCATGAAGATGAACATAACTTGTTATGCAAATTCATGAAACTGCATTTTAAAAAAGAAAGTATTTAAATGCAATGTTATCATTTTGATTCACAAATTATGGGCCTATATACAAGTACACACTGTACATTACCCCCCCCCCCCCCCCAAAAAAAAAAAAAATAAATAAATAAAAAAAAAAAATAAATAAATAAATAAATAAATAAATAAAAAAATAAATAAAAAAAATTAAAAAAAATAGAAGAAAAAAAATTAAATGAAATGCATATTAAAGTACCGGTATCATATTAAACAAATCATAAATATAAATTTCATCTCAATCAGCTAATGATGGATTTCACTGGTTTAAATCCATTGCAACCCAACAAATAGCTTGCATAAATGCACACACTAGATATTGATATTACTTACAAATTTGGGCATCTTTGATGAATTCTGTTGTACAAGCTTTCCTGTCTGTATAGCTAGTCTCCCTAAAAATAAGAAAATAGATAATTTCCACACATTTACAATGATGATAGATGTAAAAGAAACACAGAATGCTTCTGGTACTAAATGCTTCCCTATCTAAGGAATAGCATTTGAAGAAAAGCATGAAAATATGAATTATCTGCCAAAAAGTGAATTTAAGAAGAACGACTGAAGAAGAGCATTGTTTTAGGCAAAATGTGTCTGTTCCTGCCACTTTTACATGTTTTAGCATCTCATGTATTCATAAGCCCAATGACCCATTTCATTTAGTAAATAGTTATACCTAGTAATTTCATTTAGTATACCTAGTAAATTTTATTCATTTTGCTATTTCAATTAATATTGTGTTTACCTTGATAGAGTTGCTTCTTAGAGGTCCTGGCTTATTATTTGTCCATGTGTATGATTCATAAGTTTGTATGTTTTTATGATGCCAAATAAACTAAACTGAATTTACAATTGAAGTGAGTGCAATTTACCAAATTCCATTGCAACCATGTAATCAATAATACAGGGAGGGAAAATAGGAACATAGGGATTCAGTTCTTGACATAAAAAGTGAGAGATGAACAGAAAAAAACTAAAATCAAGATATATTGCTTCAAGGAAACCATAATTTTTGCAACCAAAAGAAAATTGTGAAAGAAGGTAAAACAAGCCAAAGTATTTTTTAAATAAATATTTACCTAGGTACCCAACAGCAGCTAGGCCAAGTCCGGCTAATATCACAGAAGAAGCCTGTAAAGACAAGCAGAAAAAAAATTAAGGGAAATCACTGTTTACGGTATAGTAGACTACAACACAAACAGAAAAATGACATTGTCGTCAATCATCGTCCAGATCATCATCATCATCCAGAGCTGCCAACCTTGTGCGACCAAAAAAAGGAATCATGATGGCAAAAAAAAGGAATTTCAAGCCAAAAAAAGGAATTCATAAAAAGAACCTTACAACCACGCGCGACACACTTCCAATGCAGAAATGTTCATTCATCATGCTGTTTTTTCCATACAAGCAGGTAATTTTTTTTGTGGTTATTTTGGTATTATCGGCATTTATTTTCTTTTGAGAATACTTTTCTCTTCAAGTATGTTTTAAAATAAGTTTTATATTGAATTCGTGATCAAATCACCATTTAAGGGCAGTTGTTTGACGTGTGGTATGTAAAAAAAAAAAAAATAAATAAAAATTTAAAAAAATTAAAAATAAAAAAATTAAAAAATAAAAAAATAAAAAATCATTAAAAACCGTATTTTATGAAGAAAAAACGTGGTACCGTAATTTGGAGGAAAAAACGGAGTAATTCCGGCAAAAACGGAATGGTTGGCACCTCTGATCATCGTACAGGACAATGATGTAATTGTTAGTCTGTTTAACTTTAATCTTAAACTTTAGAATCTCTGAACTTAGAAGTAAAGAGTTAGACTACAACCAAACCACAAAGACTACGTGCACTCCAGCAAAGCATAGAGAGTCGATGCTAATGCGTATTGACCTCTAGCACTGCATGCTTGCTGTGAGGCAGGTATTATTATACCCATACACAAATATACACACCACACACAATCGCATAGACTGTACACAATCATGTCGATGCAGCTGTAAACAAAGTTTGACACTAGACTTACAATTTGAATTTTTAAATTATTCTTTTTAACATCAGTAAATTAAAAAAAAATGTATTTTACTGCTATTTAGGTGTCATCAATTGTCACTAAAGTGCCGATTTTGAGTGAAAACTGAAATTAGTTGAGTTTTGTACAGTGCAGGTGTTTGAAATGTTGAGAATCAAAAGCACAGCTTTTACTACACAGCCAGGATAGTGATGCTCCTATATGTGACTACGTGTGGAGTCTTTATTTTTTTTATTTCATCGATTTCACAAAGCGACAACCCCCACCGCCCCTTAAATTGCCTGGCTTAATTAAATTGATCCTTTTTTGAATTCCACATTTTTACCATTTTGATACGAAATCTAATTTTAATAATAATATTGACAAAAGAAGCCATAATTTGTCTTGTCCTTTATTATTTTGTTGATTATTGCGGTTCTCTCAGTGAGCTGTGAGTGCACATTGTCAACCACCTACTCATCTCAGCTCAGTCGAGTCTCACTCTCACAATCCGTCTCAGCTCAGCTCAGCTCAGCTCAGCTCAGGCAATGAATGAAAGGGTGAACAAAGGTACGAGAACTGGTTTGTCATCCCCGCTAGTCTAGCCGCCTGATGTTCATGGCGTCGCCGAACGTCGTACTGCAACGCTGTCCCGATCCCGGGACGTACGTCCCCCAATCTAATCTGGAAATTTATTGGTGACATCACAATATTATCAGACATTTTTAACCCAACAAACAATCTAAAATATTATTCTTACCATGTTTATATCATATGACTTAAGAAAACCCGTAGAACCGCGTGTTTTTCCAATTCCTTCCAGCAAAAATTGCTCAGTCAAACACCACGTTCGTCTCAGCTCAATCTAGTCAGTTGATTGCGTCATAATTTCATAACTAATGAATATTCATGAGGAATCGCCGCTTTTCGGAATTTGAGCTAAAACTAAGTAAAAGGAGGTAAACAGAGTGTACCATTCTATATTGTTTGCTAAATTGTGATGCAAACTATCAGACAACCCAATTACAACTAGAAGCTGTGAAGGTAATGTTGAGGGTTTGTTTCAAATTAGCTCTGCGCTTTATGTTTATGCGCAATTAGCTCACGAAATTCATTTAACTAGTCCCACATATACGCGTTGGTGTTGTAGATTAGACCAAATATACAACTTTTGAGTTTTGTCATGCAGCTGATAGCTGATCGTGGTACATTGACATTATCACTGATTGTTGGCTGTTATTGTTGGACCCGGGTCCTTGTGTGAGTACTGTGATGTGGCTGTGTCATTGTTTGTGTTGTTTGTATGCTATAGGTCTACGACTACGTCAATGTGTATGTTATGTCCACGTGCAGTGAGTCTGAATGCAACATAAAGTATTAAAGATAAAACTAAAAAAGCGATCCAGTTCCACGGGCACACCAGCAACGCATTGTGACAAATTAATGATAATCTTTAATTGTTTTAAAAGTTAAACTTCTTGTATATGTTGTTGAATGGCCATGTTGAAAACTGCCAATGAAGACTAGAAATACAGTCAGTAGTTCTTTTATTTTTGTTACAAATCTATCTAATAATATATCTTTCTTATTTCAGATATTTTCTTATCTTCTATCTTCCATCATCCTTTGCATATCATCTCTATTCTTCACTCTTATGTCTTTTTGCTGTTTCTAATCCTACTCGTAGTATCCCCCTCTTCCTTTTTTATTAAATTTCCCCTCTTCCTTCTCTTCTTCATCCTTCTTTTCCTCATTCTATTATTCATTTCTCTTAATCTTCTCTGTCTTCTTCATTTTCCAGATTTATTTATCCTCTTCTTCTTTTTTGTCTTCTTATTCTCCTTCTCCTCCTCCTCCTCCTCCTCCTCCCTCCTCCCTCCTCCCTCCTCCTCCCCTCCTCCCCCCTCCTCCTCCTCCTCCTCCTCCTCCTCCTCCTCCTCCTCCTCCTCCTCCTCCTCCTCCCCCTCCCCCCCTCCTCCTCCTCCTCCTCCTCCTCCTCCTCCTCCTCCTCCTCCTCCTCCTCCTCCTCCTCCACCTCCTTCTTCTAGCTTCTTCAAATTCTTCCCTTTGTCCTCATCCTCTTCATCTATTGTTCTACTAGTTTTATTTCTAATTACTCTTTTTCTTTTCATGGGACAGATGCCCTACATACTGTAATACCCTAGACTTGCTTACTAAAATCTATATCTTGATTTTTCTTCAGTATTTCAGCTGCAATGGTTCTCAGATACAAAGTATGTCTCCTGAGGACCACCTTTCGGAGACTATTCAGCACAACATCCCTCCAGGACTCTGTTAGAGTGAGATTCGCTCCAAGTCCTACTGGTTTCCTCCATCTAGGTGGTCTCCGGACAGCTCTCTACAACTTCATCTATGCCAAGTCGCTCGGAGGAAAATTCATTCTACGCATTGAGGATACTGACCAGGTATACAAAAATACTTTTTTCTATCATTGTTATGATTTTTGTATAGGTCCTGTAATTGTAACACAATTTGGCTTGGCATTTGGTTTGGTTTGGTGTGGTTTAATGTAGTTAGTTTAATGTGGTTTGATGGTTTGCTTTACCCAGGGACGTGATAGAGAAGGACTGGAATCAAGCCGCTCTCCTTTGACCCCATGCTCCAAGCCGCCGAAAAGTTATGCGCTAATCTGCAACTGTTGACCAGGTGGTGAGATAAAAGAGCGCATGAAATTTCAGGATTTAGAATTCCTACATCAGAAAATGGTATCACTGCAACTGTTCGCTGTCCCTTCCAATGATTTCTCATCCATTGTTGAATGTGTAAAGAGTAGAATAAGCGAACACAAACTTGTGTACTTTCATCCTTTTTTAAACTTGAAAAATACAAAAAACACGCGAAAACACGCATTAGCAAACTTAATGTTATTGAAGATTGTAAATCATGGATCAAATAACGGGACATTAAAGCATGCACAAATTAGCGCATCATCCTAAAATATTGAGTTTTTGACAGGATGTAATTTTTCTTTTACCAACTCTGGCACACAAATTAAAGGAAGGACGGAGTTCTAAATTTGAAAACTTGTTTGATGCACTATTCCCAATAAAATCCCCATATAAAGTTTTTGATTTACACTGAAATTTTGCCAGGAATTTAATATTTTGTAATAAATGTAAAACTGGTGCCTGGCTTCCGAAAGTCCCCGCAGTGGAAGCGCGGTTCGGAGCATGGAACTTCAAAGCTAAGTGGAATGTTACACATCCCATTGTTACGCTTTAGTACTCAAGAATGCGTTTGAATAAATTACAAGAGTTTCGCCTCCTTTTCTTTCACCTCCCTGCTTTACCTGACTGCTATGAATTAACGCATGAGTATGCTTGTAAGTAAGCAACCAGAGGACCGACAGCTTTAAGTCCTCTCCGAGGGAATTCTTAAACATGGATTTCTTAAAGATTGAAATGATGATGCCTCGTCTTTGTAAAGAGGAAAAAGAAGGAAATAAAGAAGGAAATAAAGAAAGAAGAAAAAAAGGAGGAGGAGAATGAGACAGAAAAATGTAGGAGAATGAAAAGTAAGAGGAGGAGAAAGGTAAATGTAGGCCTACTGTACTGGGAAGATTTGAGGAGATATAGGGCATGAAATTTCAATAACACCAAGGCTGTGGAAGACAGGAATTATGTGAAGGATTGAAATTCATTTTTTCATTTCATGAAGGGGTACAGTTTTTTGAGCAGGGATAATGATTGAATTGCACTGTTTCATCATTTCTTTTGCAGACAAGGCTTGTACCTGGTGCTCTCGATAATCTTCACTCGATGCTGGAATGGTCGGGCCTCGTTCCAGATGAAGGTATGTATGGAAAGCAGATCAAAGGTCATAAGACAATTACATCTTTGCATTGGACAACTTAGGACAAGACATAATATGAGAGAGGAGAGAGGTAGTAGAATTTGGTAGATGAAATGAAAGCTTTCTCATTGATAGCTTTCCCCTCAACTGTTTCAATGATCTTTTGTCTTTGGAAAATAAGGTCTACATGGTCGGGAATGTTTTTACTTACACTGTATAATATGCACCTGCACATCAAGAACAAAAGTCAAAATGTGGAATAACAGGATATGTGAAAGTTTCCACATATACACACACAATCAGTGCGTTTATCTTCATCACCTTGAAGCAGCACTAACACTGGAAGAAGAAGAATCCTATACTTTAGGGAGAAATTTCATTTAAGTGTTATTCATCAATCTGGGAGAGATATTTGTACAAATTATACATTTCAATGATGCATTCTTTTTCATCTTCATTTTAGAATCTTTCTAAATCTGTACTTGTTAGGGAGCATTTTGATTGAGCTCCATGTTTTTTGTCATTTTTTTTATTCAACGCATAGTAGTAATGTACTCTGAAGGCATTGTAGTATCAATGTTTTTCATATTATTTATGTGGCAGGACCTTTACCAGGTGGCATGCATGGTCCTTATGTGCAATCAGAGAGGCTACATCTCTACAATCAACACATACAGACACTACTTGAAGTGAGTATTGTAGGGTGGTAGGGCAAGTCCATGGTACTGCTCGCTATTTATAAGGACCGCTATTTATAAAAGACCGCTATTCATTTAGTCACACCTTATGAATAGCGGTCCTTATGAATAGTGGTCCTTATGAATAGCGATGTAAATTGTCTACGGTTTGCTCACTATTTGTAAGAGACGCTATTCATAAAGGATGGCAATTCATTTTGTCACGCATTATGGATAGTGGTCCTTATGAATAATGGTCCATATGAATAGCGAGCTTGACCCGGTTGGTGCCCCATATGTTACCAATTATAGAGGAGTTCTAAATTTACATAAAGTGTGCAGTTTCACTTCATATTTGGCTAGGTCCACGCTGTAGAAGGTTATACTTGATACGTTGATATAATGATGAGATAATCCCAGTTATAAAACGGGTGCTAGAGCGTGGACAGTTTTTTGGTCGAAGAACAAGTGACCATCATTCTGTCCTACCGTGCCTGCCGTGCAAAAAATGTTCACATCAAAAAGTGATAATGCATGGCTGAGATGAGCAATGAAATGCAAGTAGTTTCAAATGACAAGGACATTGATGCGGACACTGATGCACATTGTACTTGATATGTTGGTTGATGTGGGTTGATTTTTATTTTACCTGACTGCTAAGAAAGCATAAATGCTTGTTGGTAAGCAACCAGAGGACCGACGGCTTAGGTCCTCTCCGAGGGATTTTTGTAATCTTTGGCTGTGCTATTCAAATCTGTACCGGATATATCTTTTTGTCATTCTGTCATTTATAAAATCAATCTGGAGGGTCATTTGCTAATATTGAGCCATACTAAGTATGAATATCCGTTTTATTTTCAAATTTCTGATTGTTGTGAGTATTGGATGTTAATATTTTTGTTTTTGCATTGATATAAACGGCATTGTATCTTTTTTACAGAATGGCACAGCTTACAAATGCTTCTGCTCTTCACAGCGTCTTGAGTTACTGAGGAAGGCTGCTATAAGGAATGGGGAAACCCCTAGGTATGACAACAAATGCAGGCATCTGACTCAGAAAGATATCAACAAGCAAACAGCTGAGGGGAAGAGCTTTGTCATACGATTCAAGGTGCATATGAATCACATTCTTCATCTTTTATGGGTTTTTGGTTAGTGGCTAAAAGATGCATATCATTTGTAATGGTTGATTTTCATTGTAAAGATTGCACAAGCAAGAAAATATTCTCTGTTTGGTTTTCTGATGTGTGACTTGATGTATGACCAGTGATTAATGTACAGATGTTGGAAATCTTTATGCACTTTAACACTAGTCTCATACACTAAAGTCATTTCATTTTGCCAGAGAATCAAAGGGTTTGGACTTTGGTACTTAGTTCTTTCTTCAAAATCAGTAGAAAAAGTACCTGTAGTCTGTTTTAGTTAGCTTTTATCGTAGTACTGCATCAGCAATAATGCAAGCTACAACATAAATATAAAGAGACTTGCAGCACAGCAAGTGAAAGCTTACCAAAGCAGGTAATTTTTCCACTGATTGTGAAAAAATCTTATTTTCAAGTTACTCCACCAATGATATGAACCTCCGTAGTGAATCAAATGGTTGTCTTCAATTGGATCAACAGAAATAACATACAATTATGCACAAAAAATGAATACCTATGAATTTGCAATATTGTATTTTAGGTGTTTTTCTAATCATTGCAACATTTTTCTATCTCTAAATATGTTGGAAACTGTCGTTTCATGCATGTATTCTTACATTTCTTTATTTAATCATATTTATTCATATATCTAACAGCAGCTTTATATCTGTACATATTCTTATATACAGCTTAACCCTGGTGTAGAACCAAACACAGATCTGGTCTATGGGAGAACACTGTATGATGCTGGTCATGTAGAAGGAGACCCGGTAAGTCAACTAACTACTCTCAGGAAAAGTAGTTGGGGGAAAAAAATGTGGCATATGTACCTGCTCAGGGAATAATTTTCCTCAAATTTTTTGATTAGCAATTTCAGCCGATGGATAAATATTTCAAATGAAATTCTGTACATTTCTATGGAAGAAAACTGCTACACAAAAGATATTTTGTATAGCAGTCATGCAAAAATGCATAGCAAATTGCGATGCGATACCAGGAAAATTATTCCCTGCTGCTATGCACATGTACCTTCTACTTAGGTGATCCGACTTACATTTCAATATGAGATGGAGTAGGAAGAGAAGAATAAGAGGAAGAAATAATAGGACGAAGAAGAAAAGAGGAATAATAGGTAGGAATACCGGTACTAGTAGTAGGATTATGAAAAGGGAGAAGACAATACAGTGAAGTAATTATGATAAGGAAGATGAAGAAACTAATATTTTTTACATATATGCTATGTCAACATTTTCACAAGATTTATTTTGACAGAGAGGGTCAGAGCTTGGGTTTCAATCAGATTCTAGGTTTAAAGACGCATAGGAGTGTGCTCTCATGAGGAAGTCTACCCCGTCTGGGTATTTACCAAATAATAGGTGTTGGCAATCACCAGGATTAGCCTTTAGTTTTATGACCAATCCGCCTCATACAAAGATTCTCCGAGAGACTGGAGGGGGTATTTCTTGATAGACCTCGTGTTCGATGTGTGCAGATCGACTTGGACACCCAATAATGGTATTTCCACCAAGTTCGTTGTCAGCGAATTATGGCCTTCTGCACATGGAAATTTATGACCCAATCCCTTTAAGTTTAGGTTCTAGAAAGGCATATATCCACTTATTATAAAAAAAGTTTGTACAGTTTTTTTAATGGTCATACAAAAGTGCAGCATGGCTTTTTGAGAAATGCATTGTTTGATTAATTGGATCATACTGTTGTGTTGAATATGCAATGGTAGTTATTCAAAATACGTTATTTATGAGGTAGTGATTTGATTTCACAGGTTTTAATGAAGAGTGATGGCTTCCCTACATACCACTTTGCCAACGTAGTAGATGATCACCTGATGGAAATCAGTCATGTTCTACGAGGGCAGGTAAGAACAGGTCCTAGCTCGCACTACCGGTAATCTAATCCAGACCAGGGGGGTGTTTCACAAAGATCCTAGGTTGAACTTATCTCTAAGTTGGACTTAACAGTTATGGAAAGCCGTTGGCATCTATGAAAATATTGTGTAAAAGTCATTTTAGATGTATAAAATGTTAATTTAAATCAATCATATTTTCTATTATCAAAGAGATGTCATGTTCTTGATGTGGAATTCATACAAAGTCTGAAATACTTCAATTTTCACTTTTGAATATATTTTATTTTAGGGCTACCAAATGGCTCTCCATAATTTTTAAATCCAACTTAGAGTTAAATTTGATTTATGATCTTTGTGAAACACCCCCCCCCCCAGGCCTCTAGATGGCTATCGTAATTGCTAACTATGTACAGGTGTACTCGGAGGATAAGTAAGAACAGATCCAAGAAATAGTCTAGATGTATATGGGACTACCCCCACACGTGCGCGACACGTGCGTTATATCTGTCAGGTCCAAATAGATATAATAACTTACCAAATATATCAATTAGTAGTTTCTCAGCAAAATTTGTATGATCACATATTAGTCAAAACATAATTTATTCTTTCACATTATTGGTAATAAGAGCTTCCATTTCATTTTTTGAGAGGGGGGGGGGGCGTTTCTAAAACTGGTCTTTACCTTTAATTGAAGAAAGCATCACAAAACCAATTATAAACCAATTATGTCATTATTTCAGTATGAAGGTAATATTTGAAATAATTTGATAATTTGTTTATTTCCTCAGGAGTGGTTAGCATCTGTATCTAAGCATCTCTCTCTTTATCAAGCGTTTGGATGGAAGCCTCCAAACTTTGCTCATCTTCCTCTTTTAATGAACAAGTAAGTCTTTAGAAAGGTAAAGGATTTCAACTGAAAAGGACCATTTATGTCAGAAATTATCAATTTCATGCCACTTAGGTCATAGTGAATCCATACTTTTTCCAAATGTGAGACACCTAAAGTGTTGGGGGGGGGGGGGGGTAAATCTCTCAGACAGATTTCAAATTTGGATATTTGTAATAAATTGTATCTGTTAAAATGTAAAAATTTACTTTTCACTTTTTTTCATTTCATTTTGTTGCATTGCTTTTCACCATTCGTTCATTTTTATGGTTGCTAACTTCAGTCAAGATCAGCTGGTTGAAAGTCAGTCCACTATGTTTCACCATCCACGATTGACACTAAAGCAAAATGGAGAGATCTTTGATAGTCAAGAACATTGCTAGTATAATGTATTCCTTTCGTTATATATCTTATCATATGTTCAGGATACTTAAAGGCATCTTTTAACAATGTTAAATCTGAGATGCATGGCCCTACATGTTATCAGTGCCTATGATGTTGTGCAGTATTGAAGCCCTAACAAAATTGCGCTTCAAAATGATCATGAAGTGCCTCAAAAAAGAAAAGTAAAAATCTTTGAGTGACTGGTTTTATCATACTCATTTTCCCCATTAGACTGTAATGTTATAACAAATCGTTAGGAAAACGCAAAATTTGATTTTGATTTCAAATCATAAATATCTTGATAATCAGACAGGCGATCGGTGTGGAAAACTCATGGGATTCCTGGCTGATCTAAAGGTTTAGAATTATGATTGCAGCATGAGCTAGATCCAGGATTTTGTTTCAGAATCTGAGGCAATGTTACCGAGTCCCTGAAAAGACCCCAAATAGCAGATTATTTATTGATGGATGACTCTGACATTATGCTGGTACTTACAATCACTGTCTATCAATCACTTTACCCTGACAGGGATGGGACTAAGCTATCAAAGAGGCAAGGCGATATCTTTGTTGAAAATTTCAAGGTAATGATCGAGCTACGTATGGAATGGTATGTAGAAGTACGTAGAGGTGTCCCACTCTAGTGGATACGTAACCGGACTGTGGATCACATGGTCTATGGTTCGAGTCCCGCTGTGGCACTTATGTCCTTTGGCAAGAAATCAATCTACATTTGCCACTCTCCATCCAGGTGAAGTAAATAGGTACTTGGTAAGAAGAAATTCCATGAATGCTTTAGCGCCTTTAAAATCATGTCAGACCAGCTACAGCTACAGCCTTTGAATCAAACGCAGTAGAGAATATTCATGAAGTAGCTGCGCTTTATAAATGGACATATTATTATTATTTATATGACCCTTGATATTTTCTCTATTCACCATTTTACCATATGTCCCCTCAAATGGGACAAACCACCTAAACCAGGCTTACCGCATGTCCATGTCCCTCAATATCTATCTCTTTCTCTTTCTCTTTTTCTCTCTCTTTCTCTTTCTCTTTCTCTCTCTCTCTCTTTCTTTCTCTCACTCTCTCTCTAAATCTGTCTCTCTTACTCTCCATCTCCCTTTACCTCTCTCTCTCTTTCCCCTTTTTCTTTCTCTCTCTCTCTCCCTCTCTCTCTCTCTCTCTCTCTCTCTCTTCTCTTTATGTGCCATTTTGCTGTATAATATCTCCTCCTTGCCACTCATGTATTATCTTATTCAGTTTCTTATTTTCTATTTCATATCCTTATCTGAAGTACATCCGAAATCTCTTGATGACCATCTTACATTCAACTTTCTTTTTTCCTTACAGGATCAAGGTTACATGTCAGAAGCAGTGCTTAACTTCATCACATTCTGTGGGTCAGGGTTTGATGACAACCGCAAAATCCGAAATCTGGAGCAGCTGATTGCAGATGTAAGATATATATTGATTTATAAAGTGTGTGTATTGTATAAACCTATTAAAAATAATCAGAATAGACAAAGGCACATATGCTCACTATAGCATGATTAATGTCATAGATATTCATTATTCAAGCAATACTGTCATAAATTTTGTGACACAAAATAATTGAAAGAATTTTGAATATTTGCAATTCATAAAAGTTTTATTCAGTCCCCAAATTGGCTGACATTACGAATTTACAACAACAAAAAAATCACAAAAATTTCTAGGTTACATTGGATGTTGATTACATATAAGATCACTGCATTGTTCAAATAATAACATAAATGGGTTTTTGTAAAGCGCTCATGTTTGTGACGCTTGGCACTCCTGGCGCTCCAGTATTACTTTCCCAGCTTCAGCATTGCTACTGTAAAGGTACTCCTAGTATTCTAGGAATTAACTTCTACCCAATACCTCTTTACATCTCCTGGGTCGAGTGTGGCAAATGCAGATTAATGTCTTGCCGGTAGATGTCAATGATGCGTAGCAGGAACTCAAACCTTTTACCTTGTGGTCTGTGATCCTAAGTCGAACTTAACTCTAAGTCGGACTTAGATATTATGGAGAGCCATTTGTAGCCTTAAATCAAATATATTCAAATAAAAAATTCAAGAATTTATACTTTTCATAAATTACACATCAAGAACATGAAATCTCCTTGATAATAGAAAATTTGAATGATTTGAATTAACATTTTTTTTTTAAATAACTTTTACAAAATATTTTCAAAGATGCAATCAGCTTTCCACAATTCTTAAAGGTATTACAAAGTTTTGGTATGGGGTCATGAATTTGGTTCAAATTAACATATTGGAAGCATATGCGTTCCTACAATATTCATTGATCGTTGTCCCAGTTGAAATCGAGTCTAAAGTTATGAAATTATAAATAATAAACCCTTTATGTTGTATAGCTCCCTCTCAAGGACAAGATTCCAATTTAGCTATGAAACAATGTTTCTTGACTAAAATCGACTGATTTGCTATTCCCGTTTGAAAATTATATATCACAACAACATATTCTGAGATTTTCATAGTCGCAGCTACCATTGTTCAGCCGTAGGCGCTATTTGAAATTCATCAAAGTTTACCGGGAGCACCGGTAAATTTTATATTCAATTTTTCTCGAAAACAGAAGTGTTTTAGGGGTTAATTTTTTTAGTGCTTATGATACATCCACAGGGGCATCCAAATATATCAAAATTGTAAAGATTCACTATCCACCCAATTTTCAAAATTTCCCCAAACTTTGTATTACCTTTTAGTCCAACTAAGAGATAAGTTCAACTTAGGATCTTTGTGAAACACCCCTCTGGTGACTTATTCACTACACCACACCTCTACACATCTCCAAAGAAATTGTTTATCTTGTTTATTGACTCCCTTTCATTTTTCTCCAGTTCTCTCTAGAAAAGGTCACCACCCACTCTGCTATGCTGGACATGGATCTACTAGACGGGGTCAATAGAGGTCACATATCCAGGTTAATGGGGTCAGATAAAGGTCAACAAAGGCTGATAAAGAAACTAAGAGATACAGTTAAACAGGAGCTAGGAGAAAGGTAATAATGTCAAATTTGGCTCATCTATACTTGTTAAGCCTTTGACTATTGAAATCTCTTATACCCCATAGGCTTACCACATGAGTTACCCTGTTTGTATAGGCAATGGGTTGATTAAACTATGCAACTATCTATTGCAGTATGCAGTCGTATGTGGAGGGCCTTTTTTTTGTATTACACAAGTTAAACATATTCATGTGTTTAGAATAAGAATAAGAATTATAAAAAAACATGAATTTATCCAAATCAGAAATTTAGACTATTTCCTGTATAACAATACAAAGATGAGGCATTTCTTTTGGGGTAATAGAGATTATGAGGCATTGTGCAAGCTATTTACGACAATAAACTTATTTTTAGATAGAAGAACGTTGCCCTTAAGCACCAAATAAACATCATTGATTATAACGTCCAATTTTTTTTTCTCCATTTCTAGGACAAATGGCACACTCCATCAGATGGATGATGACTATCTAAGAAGGGTACTACTAGCCAGGAAAGTAAGTTTGATTTGATTTGATTTGATTTATTGGTTACTGCATCTTTTTTCTTTTTTTCATCATACATTTTCATGAACATTATATGGTTTGATACAATATTTTAAGTGTATATAATTTTATACAGATAATAAACAAAATTACCGGTAAACAGATATATTGAATGCATAATTAATTAATACAACAATACAAATATAAATAAAAAAGAGTGTGACTTGCAGAGAAGAAAAGGAAAGTGGAGAGAAGGAGCGTTGGTAATAATACAATAAATCTCATACATCTGCTGATTGAATGCAGGTTCATTCATGAATGGATAAATGATGCTAGGTCATGGACGATTACACATCATTGTTAAATAAACAGTCAATGTACACATGAACATGAATACAGTAAAATTACACACGACATGATCAATACTTAGACAATAACATAGTTTTAACTGCCTTCTTAAAAGAATACAATGTCCTAAGTTTGGAAGTAGAGAGCACCTCAGTGTTTCTACAATACATATACCTATAATTATATGGGCTAGTTCAAGGTGTTTGGTTATTGGTGCTTCGTACATAACAAAATATTGAGGAGTTATGAACATAGAGTGGTATAAAAAAATTTAATTCACCTCGTATTTGGTCTGATCCAAACTCTATCTGCTATTTTAGATGAGGTTTGTAACATAAAGAACAAAATTATCTTGGACCTTATCATGTTTGGAGCTAAGAAACATAGAATATCAAGACGGAAGAGATCAACATACAAGAGTGATAAAGCATACACTATATTTGTTGAGATGCTGCTCATTAACTTACGGATTGAAATTATTTGAAGGTTACATATTGATCAAATCTACTGATATTACTGACAAGGCAATGTTAGCGAGAATAATAATAATAATAATGGGTTCTGATTAAGTGCTCATGTCTGTCAGATTGGACACTCCTGATACAACCCAGGCTTTAGCATGGCTGCCACTAAGGCGCTCTAGCATTCCAAGGAATTTATTCCTGTCAGGTACCCATTTACCGCACCTGGGTCGAGTGAGGCAAATATATATTAATGTCTTGCCAAAGGACATTAGTGCCATGGTAGGACTCAAACTGCGAAAAATGTGATCCACGGTCTGATGACATATTCAATAGACCACAATTCCTCCACACTTTATAATATATTTATGCCTCCTTTACGAAGTAGCAGGAGGCACTATGTTTTCAGGTCGTCCGTCCATCCGTACGCGCGTCTGTACGTCCCGTTCTCGTGATCGCGTTATCTCAAGAACCGATTAATGGATTCCTGCCAAACTTAGTGGAAATTATATATCTTCGGAGGGACTGACAATTTTCCTCAGGGCTTCGCCTCTCAGAAAAAAATAGTACTCTGCAAGTCCCTCCTCAAATAAGGGTCAAGTCTTCAAAAGTCTCCTAGGACCTGTACCCTGGTAATCAAATTGCTAAATTTATATTTTCAATGATTACAATTCTTTTCTTTTTTCACAAGAACATTATACAATTTGATCATTTTTAAAATTATCTCAGTCTAAATTCTCCTTTCTTTTCTTCATTTCTTTTCTTTTTTCCTATTACTATCAGAATTATCTTCAATACCCTGTTTACATACTGTTTTAACTGCTTTGTGCTCTGCTCTTAATAGGAATAACTCTATTGAAAAGTGATAATTATGGTTGATTTTTGGATGGGAATTTTGCATCTTAAAGATAGTGGACATAATCAGAGATTCCTAATTTTCTTCATTGGTTGTGAAAGTATTCTTGTTAAACAGGAATAACGCTGTTGAAGGCCCTATTGGCTCTCATGCTCTTCTCAAACTGGGCCCAGAAGAGTTTCTGGCCATCTTCATCAGCCGTCCACAACATGTAAGGTTTGTTCTTACTCATGAATAACCGGACCAAATATGGGAGGTCCTCATCCTGGATGTCCTCAATGAAAATCAGTATTACCTTGTCCAGTCTGGTGTCGTTGATGTGCTCTAGGGCTATGCGCAGCTTGGTCAAGAACCAAGCATCATCTACGGAGTTGTAACTTATCAGCAAGACAGTCTTGAAGCTGATCTCGGCGGCGTAGTGAAGAGCATTGATGTAGAACATCCCGATGTTGAGGTCGTTATCGCCGAAGATCACTTTCCGCAGATGTGGAAACCTCTCCTGCAGCATTGGCTTCATGATCCGGTCCACCCATTCCTCGTCGTCTTCATTGTACATGATGTTTAGCTGATACTCGTAGTCCTGGGCGTCAAAGTCCTGGTTGATTTCCTCGTAGCCACAGATAGCTAGCTTGAGGAGGAAGATTTTGTAGTTTAGCCACCGTCGCTTCCTGTAAGCCACCAAGCAAATCACCACGATCAGGACAACTGAAAAGGATACACCTGTGATCATCACAATGTCAGTGCCACAGTATTGGTCAGGGTTGAATGAAAGTATAGGTGAATTGACCTCTTCTCTAATAGATGTTAGCGAGCAGAAAGTCTTCTCTCGATTCAAGAGTTTAACATTGCCAGAACGGAGCCACTTCACAAACCAACTCAAGTGGCACGTACAAGAAAACGGGTTTCCGTAAGCATCCAGTTTCATTGTCATGTTTGTTGGGAACATCGTCTTTGGTTCTATGGTAGCAATTTTGTTTTGTTGAATGAACAGACTGTGCAGAGAGGTGGTTTCATTGAATAGTGTCCTTGGAATGGTCTCAAGTTCATTGTTGCTTAAAAAAAGAACAGCAAGATGGTGTTGCGTTCGAAGCAGACATTCAGGTATCTTCTTGATCTCATTGTGGCAAAGGTCCAATGACCTGAGGGCAGTCAGGCTGTCAAAGACACCACAGCTCAGAACTGTTATAGAAGACTGCGACAGGTCAAGTATCTTGAGTTTCTTCAGTGGGTTGAAAGTACCTGGTGCTAACATATCAAGCTTATTCTGTCTTAGAGCAAGTCTCTCCAAAGAGTCTAGACCGTGAAACAGAGAGCTTTTAGTCTGGACATGGTACATATCTGTACTCCTCAGACTGTTCTCACACATAATCAGCCTGGTGAGGGATGAGGTATTTGTGAATTGACTTATGGAGGTTAATTTCAATGGGGCAAATGACAAATTCAAGACACGTAGAGCCCCTAGATAGCGGAAAGCCTCATTGATGCCTTGGGCATGCTCATTGGTAAGATACAGCTCTTGGAGAAGCCTCAAGTTTTTAAATAACTTGGGAGAATATGGATCGGAGATGTCATTGTTCGACATGTTCAGAATTTTCAGATTAGTGAAACCCCACAGCATCAACCTCCTGATCCCTGTGAATTTGTTAAAAGACAGATCGATGTACTCTACTGAGGGAAATGTTACATTGTTTCTATTGCTTTCGATATCCTTGATATTATTGTACGCCAAGTCGAGGTGATTGAGTAAGGATATGCCCCATTCTTCGCCGATGAATAGCCTTGCAATGTTATTTCCATTTAGCTTCAGTTGCTGTAACATGTTATTGCAAGAGAACATATCTAAGCTCAAGGTTGCGAGGCGATTGTAAGACAGATCCAACTGAATTAAGTGGTCTAAACCACAAAAAGATCTATTTGATAAACTAGCAACCTGGCTTCTATGAAATGAAAGAATTTTTGTCTGATTGAAACCCCAAAATGCAAAGTCAGGGACGTAACTTATTATATTTGCTGTAAGACTTAGTTTAAAGATGTTGCCCTGTTCCCCTAGAGAGACATGTGACTTGTTCAATGGAATTATTTCATGTATCTTGCAGAAATTAATGTAAAGGTTTGTGATGACAGTTCTTCCTAAAACCGTTGAGGTGTGAAATGTTGTAAAATTGTTACCCGAAAGATTCAAGAACGTCACTGTGCTCAAATAGGAGAAAATATTAAGAGGAAGACTATTAAAGGCATTATTTTCTAAAGACAGCCTTTCCAGTGAACAATTCTGAAGAGGTTTTAAATCATGGGAATCAATGAAGGAGATATTATTGGTGCTTAATTCAAGTTTCTTGATACTGTTAGACCATGGCAGTGCATCACTAGGAAAAGAAAGCAATCTGTTTCTACATAGAATGAGTATGGAAAGGAAATTATTTGTCCAAAACAGACCTGGTGGAAGAGAAGCTAATCTGTTTTGGCGTAGACTTAATTCCCTAAGATGAGGCAGAGGCTTAAAGGCGCCATTTTCTATCTTTGAAAGGACATTGCTTGCAAGCCCTAAAGTAGTGATGTCAGGAACATAGGCAAAAGAACTGTTGAACAGACTTGTGATCTTGTTGAAGGAGAGGTCAAGCATTACAGTGTTGCTTGGAAGATCCAGAGGAACAGACTTGAGATCTAGGTGAGTACATGTGGCCTTTGATCCGAGGCTGGTGTTCTTAAGCTGACATCTTCTTGTTGACTCAGGGCTGAGACTTGCTGAAACATCCTTCACAAGCAACCTTGTAGAGAGCAGGGACATGGCACCTAGCCACAAGCAAAAGAAAATTCTTGAGGCTGTATGAGAAGTCATCATCTTCAGCATGATTATAATCTCTAGTGTGTTACCACTGCAGAAAGAAAATGTCTTGTTTGCTTCAGAATGGGCAAAGCTAATTGTTATGTTACCCTACCTTTGTTAAGAATTGTCTTTAATGGGGTGTTACCACTGCCAAAACACACTAATCGTCCCGTTTGCTGTAGAATGGCCAAAGCTAACTGCAACGTCTTTTCGGCCTTAAGAATTCAAGCTTTGGTGTTCATGTATAACCAACTTCACAAAATCAAAAAGATTCTGACTAATAACAATTTCACAAAATCCTTGCTAATAACAATTTCACGAAATCCTTGCTATTAACAATTTCTCCAAATCCTTGCTAATAACTTGAGTTTCACAAGTGCAGACGGTGGCCGAAATCCAAGTTTTGATGGACATTTATGGTCATTTATGGAGTATATGGATCAATTGCAGATGTTTGCCAATTCAAATTATGGTGATCATTTACTGTGTACAATACAATATCCACAAAAATCATGGCTAACAAAGGCAGAACACTTAAAGTTTTACATCAGGACTTTGGGTAGTCTGTGGCACCTGGGTACTTTCTAATTGCAAGCCGTCCTGCTTACATGTAGTTCATCTGCTCATCAGCTACATGTATCAAGCGTAATGTTGAGGAAAATCTAGTGAGCAAAGGTCATGGAGGAATCTCAAACAGATGAATTCAAATTTCAAAACAATAATGTATATGATTCCTAAACGCCCATTCCTTCCTCTTTATGACAGAAGTACAGTTGAAAACCTCTGGAGCAAAGTTTCTTGATGAATCTCAAAGAGATGACTTAAAAAGTGCAGAGTATCAAACTCCTGAATGTCCATTCCTTGTCTCAAAGTCCAGTTGAAAACCTCTTTAAGTAAAAATTTGCAAAGAATGTCAAAGAGGTGGTTTTAAAACTATCAAGTGTCAAATTCCTAAATGTCCATTCCTTCTACCTTACACTTTGAAGTGTAGTTGAAAACCTCTGAAGCAAAGTATGTCGTAGAATCTCAAAGAGATGGATTTAAAACTTAAATGGATCTAATTCTTAAAGTCAATTCCTTCTACTAAATGAATTGAAGTACAGTTGAAAAAACCTGTGAAGATGTTGAATTGCAAAATCAAAATGAATCAAAGTTACAGCTTTTTCACTAATTGCTTTGAAGACAACGATGTTTAATACCCAAAGATTTGATGACTTCAATCAACTTTTAATGTTAGTTTTAATTAATTTTTATCCTCTTGAAATGTCTCATATCCACTATTACAAAACCAATTATGGGATCTGAAAAGAGGAAACACGCCGGAAACGCGTTAAAGGATAATTACATGCTTTTTTTTAATGACTAGAATTTTATCTAAAACTTGTTTTCCGCCAGGCTGTGAAGTATGTTTCACTTTCATAACACCCAGAATTAATTAATTTTCCTGCTTGTTTGTTTGTTTGTTTTTGTTTTCTTCTTCTTCATCTATCTTTCCTTTTTTTCTCTCTCTCTCTCTCTCTCTTTTAAATTAAAGGATGCTTTGGAAAGCATCTTTGCTTCTCTGAGCGGTTACTCCTTTGCAACATGTGCAATTTGGCATAAATAATGTATACACCAATGGACGGAAGGATTGCTTTGTGCAACATAATGGCGTTGCATAATTACCTATTTTTGCTCTTGATTTAATGACTAGCTCCATGACAACCCTTTTAACACAGGTATACAAGTAATCTTGCAATGAAACAGTTAAACAATGTAACCATTAAACATCCATTTCACTTGATATCAGGTTGCTTTCAATCAGTTTTATAGTTGTTTTCATGGGCTATAGAAAGCGGTACCCTTCATCCATTCTTTGTTACAGAGGTTAAAAGTGCCACTTGCGTCAGTACTTATTACTTATTATTATCATTATAAGTATCATTATTAGTGTAATTGTTATTGTTATGCCTCCGTTATGAAGTAGCCGGAGCCATTATGTTTTCGGGTTGTCCGTCCTTCCGTCCATACGTACGTCCGTATACAACTGTACGTCCCGTTCTTGTGATCGCGTTATCTCAAGAGCCGATTGATGGATTCCTGCCAAACTTTGGTCCTGTATGTATCTTGCAAAGCCAATGAACTGATTAGATTTGGGGGTCACAAGGTCAAAAGTGACAGGGCTCATTATGTTTGCAAAAATAGCTTGTGATCACATTATCAGAATGCAAGGATTACCATCAAACTCAAAACATGTATGTATCTTGCAGAGCCAATGAACTGATAAGATTTAAGGGTCACGAGGTCAAAGATCAAAGGGTCATACATTTATATTTAAAAAAGCTTGTAATCACAATATTCTGAGAACCTGTTCATGGATTACAATCAAACTTGAATTTAAAAAATTGCTTCTGTTTTGGTTTGTAAAATTAATTGCCCTATGGCGAAGGTATCACTTTCTACTGCGCGCACTCGAAGGTCCATCTATTTTATAATATACTTTTAAACAATTTCATTGGAAGACTTGAGAAGATTTCACTGTTTTTATTCAATCTAATGTGGACCAAGAACAAATTTCTTTTACTTTCTTATGTTTTTGTCATTTACAGGACCACATTGGAAGATTAAAAGACTTAACATCTCCTGACTATGCATTTCTTTGGCTCTGTCCTGATTTGACCAAGGCAGACTTTTCTTCAATAACGCAACACTCAGGTATGATAAGGATCCATCCTTTACTTTAACCCGCTGATTTCTGAATTCTCTCATTCAGGGTTAAAGGTAATGCAAAGTTTTAGGAAATTTTGAAAATTGGATGGATAGTAATTCTTTACAATTTTGATATATTTGGATGCCCCTGTAGATGTATTATAAGCACTAGAAAATCTAGCCCCTAAAACACTTCTGCTTTTGAGAAATTGAATAATCAAAAATTTACCGGAGCTCCCGGTAAATTTCAAATATTTCAAATGGTGCCTAAGGCCATTCCATGGTAGCTGCTACCATGAAAATCTCAGAATATGCATGCAGTTCTGAATTATAATTTCCAAACGGGAATAGCAAATAGGTTGATTGTAGTCTTGTTTTAGAGCTAAAGTAATATCAGTCTTGAGAGGGCGTTACAACATAAAGAGTTTATTTTTATGCCTCCGTTACGAAGTAGCCGGAGGCATTATGTTTTCGGGTTGTCCGTCCGTCCGTCCGTACGTCCCGTTCTCGTGATCGCGTTATCTGAAGAACTGATTGATGGATTCCTGCCAAACTTTGGTCATGTATGTTACTTGCAGAGCCGATGAACTGATTAGATTTTGGGGTCACGAGGTCAAAGGTCAAAGGTCACAGGGCTCATTATGTATGCAAAAACAGCTCGTGATCGCATTATCTGAAGAACCGATTGATGGATTCCTGCCAAACTTTGGTCTTGTATGTATCTTGCAGAGCCGATGAACTGATTAGATTTTGGGGTCATAAGGTCAAAGGTCACAGGTCACAGGGCTCATTAGGTATGCAAAAAGAGCTCGTGATCGCATTATCTCAAGAACCGATCGATGGATTCCTGCCAAACTTTGGTCATGTATGTATCTTGCAGAGCTGATGAACTGAATAGATTTTGGGGTCACGAGGTCAAAGGTCAAAGGTCACAGGGCTCATTATGTATGCAAAAATAGCTTGTGATCGCATTCTCATTAGAACAGATTGATGGATTCCTGCCAAATTTCGATCATGTATGTATCTTGCAGAGCCAATGAACTGAGTAGATTCATGGGTCATGAGGTCAAAGGTCATGGGCTCATTATGTATCCAAAAATAACTTGTGAAGGCATTCTCATTAGAACTGACAGATGGATTACTATTTAACTCAGGACATCTTGCAGAGCCAATGAACTGAGTAGATTTTAGGGTCATCAGGTCAAAGATCAAAGGGTCATATATGTATATGAGAAATTGCTTGTAATCAAGATATTCTGAGAACCTCTTAATGGATTACAATTGAACTTGAATTTGAAAAATTTCTTCTGTTTTGGTTTGTAAAATTGCTCTATGACGGAGGCATCATTTTCGACTGCGCGCAGTCGAAGTTCCATCTAGTTTACAATTTCACCACTTTAAACTCGATTTCAACCGCGACAACGATCATTGAAATATTGTAAAATCACATATTCTTCCAATATGTTCATCTGATCCAAATTCATGGCCCCATACCAAAACTTTTTTTATTACAGTAGGCAATGGGTTAAAGGGATCCGGTAACTTTGTCTCAAATTCTGAAAAAAAATTCTGGATTTAGCTCATGATGCAATGATAATTATAAACCTTTAGGTCAGTCAGGAACCCCATGACTTTTACAAGCCGATCGCCTGTCTGATTATCAAGATATTTATGATTGGAATTACATATTTTGAAAACCGTTCGCCTGACGGTTTTCATAACACTACAGTCTATTGGGGAAAACGAGTAAGGTAAAACCGGTCACTCAAAGGTTTTTACTTTTTTGAGGCACTTCTTGATCATTTTGTAGCGCAATTTTTTTAGGGCTTCAATATTACACCATATCACAGACACTGATAACACGTAGGGCCGTGTATCTCAGATTTAACATTGTTAAACGATCCCTTTAAATCCTCTGATTGAAGCTAAAAAGACATTAACTCGTCATTTTGAACAGAGATAATGCCCTTCTGGCTCCAAACAGACGATGTAGATCTTGTAATGATGGAATGAATATTGTCACAGAATCAGATTAAAGTTTACTCAATATTTACATTACAAGCACAGGAGCATATGAAAGATTAGTTTTAAATGATTTTTTTTCATTCCATTAGAATTCTGTCTGAAGCTTCATGATATCTAAGACATCATCATCATCATGATATCATCGTACATACCAATCTCCCGTCTCCAAATTTGTTCTTAACACCAATCATTACTTGATAATATGTGGAACACCAAAAGGCAACAAATATTATGGACTTACCCTTTTACTCTTACCGTCCTGTAATGTCTACAAAATTCTCGCAACAGTTTGATCAGAAATGAAGCGAAAATTGTGTAGATATTTCTTTCTGTGAATATCACATCATGACAAAGAGCTTGTTTCTTTTCTGTCCATCGTCTAGATGTGATACTATCTTCAGCAATCAGACACCTGGGTCAAGCAGAGTCTTTCACTAAGGAAACCTTAAGCCCTATCCTGAAGCAGTGCTTCACTTCATTGCCAGCAGGACTCAAGTACTCTCACTGCATGAAGGTCCTGAGAGTCGCCATGAGTGGTTTGATGGTGGGTAGATGGTTAATAATGATCATTTATGTTAATTATAAACTTGATATTGTACTAACTAAATTCAAGATCGCCAGGAGAGCAAATTGAAGAAAAATAACAAAATCATGTGGTACAGTGAAACCTGTCTATTAAGGCCACCAAAGGAAACAAAAAAAGTGGCCACTGTAGACAGGTTCTACAACACACGATTCTCATTCAAGAGAGAGAGAGTTAGAGAGAGAGAGAGACAAATACATGACCACTATAAACAGGTGAGCTCTATAGAGAGATGGCCACTAAGACAAATTTGACTGTAATCTGTGTGACCACTCGAGGGAGACAAAAAAAGTGGTCTTTATTATGCAGGTTGACTCATGTACAGGTTTCTTTAGTACATGGTTCAGTGATTTTATACAGGTGGTTGCTAAAGCAGGTTCCATTGTAATTGACGTTTGGTTCTTGTTTTTATTTTTTTTGCAAGGGGGGGGGGCATCTAGAGAGGTCATTATTATCTCCTCCTTTAGATGTATCTTTCTTAGTTAAGCCTTAAACTCATTTCTATTCATGCCTTGATCTTTCTTTTCTTTTAGTCTCCCTTATTTGATGTTATCAGTCTGTTGATTTTGTATATATAGTGTAATCAAACTCAATATGCAATGTTGTTAAAATGTATTAAAGTAATAAAATGCCTCGTATGAGGAAAAGAGAGAAGAAAAAAAACCTCCTCCGTCATAATTTCTGTTTTTCCCTCTGTCGTGTCTTTCTTTGTATACAGGAAGGGCCTCCCGTTGCCGAGATGATGGAGATCCTTGGGGGAGAGGAGACTGTGAGGAGACTAGAGGCGGCTCTTGACCATCTCCAAAGATGACCCTTAGCCCCCATCACCATCTGTCGTATGTAATCCACCAATAGCGTATTTGAGGGAGGGGCAAGGGGGGGGGGGATTAGCCCCTCATGACATGTTTCCGACCAAGAAATATAAATGCAGCCACACTAGTAGTAAGCAGCTTAGGAATCACCTTATGTCAAGAAACGAATGATGCCTGTGGACATCTCATTTTTAGAAGACCTACTTTCTCTTTCTCAAATCTGATATTTTGAGTTACCACCCCCCCCCCCCCCAACCATAATACAAACCAGGACCCTGTAACATAATGAGCTACAATTAACTGTATCTCCTTCAAATTTATTGAATCTCCTTCAATCAATCCTAACGTTACGATAAATTAAACTTACAGTTAAGTTTATGTTAAAAATAGGTACAATGCATGGTAAGATGCGATTAATTGCGGCAAGACTTGAGGTACAGTAGATTTTTATGATTGATTGTATGTCGATTAATGTTGTTACAGGGCCATGGTCGCACGTACTAAAAGTTTAGTGCACTTTGTTGAAATGCGTTGCACCTCATGATGCCGAGATCTCGACATGCCACTGTAGTCCACCATTCGCATCGTTGCACCGAAAGCTTTCAGTGGGCATTCTTGAAAAGGGCTGTCACAATGAATGCAGGGCTGTGCTGCAAAGTGTATTAATAACTATGTGCAGAAACTCTTTTCCTCATAGCCAATCTGAAGATAACTACAATTTTAGAAGAAGCTGGCCTAAAATAATTCTGAATTATGTATCATGTAATAGATGGTTTGCTTGGATCAGTAAAATATAAACAAAGTAACAAAAAGCTGCTGGAAAGCACATTCACTGGAAAAAAAGTACTTTATAATAATGTGAAGAGATTGAATCTTGTAGACCCCCTCGGTTATTTCATTTTTCAGACATAGTTTTCAATGGATCAACATGTATAATCTATTTAACAAGAGTGGTAGAGCTAAATATAGATGTACTCTATAATTATGGACCTAATATTGATCCCTGTGGCACTCCCTTCTATTGGTTGAAGACTTCATGTCATATCCTAGCTAACGGCTAATTGTTTAGTCTTACAGACGCATCTTTCCAGTGCTACTCTTGTCATCCTCAAATTGTATTTTTCACATAAACGCTTTTTTTTTTATAAACAATAATATTATGGACGTTTTTCAAATTGAAATGATTGTGATGATTGCATTCTATTAAATGATTCCTTTTAACATGAATGTTATTTTGAGTCTTTTTCTGTGTACCTTGTTGCATTCATTTTGATGTTGCATTAACAGTTTGTGTATCTCATCCCTAATGAGTAGTTGTATTATCATTGCAAAATGATATTCATTTTACTTTGTAGAGGTCTGGCAAAAGTAAAAACAGCAGGTTAGCAATCGGTCATATATTTTCCATTAATATGTTTGTATTAAACTGTGTAGGAGCTTGAATTTCAGAATCTTAATTTAAATAATACAATTTTGAGATACTATGAACTTTAAACAAAAACTGGAAAGAAACAGATAAGACCTGTGTTGGAAGAATTTTTTCCATTATTACTGTTGCTGATAGTACTTTTAACATTGGCATAGTTATATTTCCGGTATGATTGTGGTTACAGCACAATACTGCACAAACAATGATCATGGTTTAATTTTCAAAATTCTGTTTCGGTATCATTGTATGTTTTGATACTGAAATATGAATAGTAAAGTTTGTCGGTAATATGAGGTATTCTTGTACATGTGTAAAAAGGTGAGTTCAGTTAAAAGTTGGAAAGGAGAGATCAGATGAGATATTGAGAAAATATGACTGCAGGAAATCAAAAGTTTTTTGTTGAAAAATCAGTGAAATTCATGAGAGAGAGAGAGAGAGAGAGTGAGGAGGGAGGGAAAGAGAGAGAGAGAAAGAGAGATGATGATTGTGCTGGTGATGATGATGATAATGATGATGTTGATGATAATTAATTCATTAATTTGTATTTTACCTGTTTATATCCTTATGTTTTCATCTATTTTGTTTTGACTGCTGTTATTTTGTTATATTCTTACCAAACGGCCTCATGGAAGACCACCAAATTGGTGATATGTGCCACCCTGTATACATCTCAGAAATAAATAAATAAATAAATGATGGTGGTGATGATGATGGTAATGATGGTGATGGTAATGATGATTATGGTGATGAGGATGATGATAATGACGATAGTGATGATGATGATGAAGGTGATGGTGATAATGATATGGCGATGCATGGTGTGGATGATGAAAATGGTGATGGATATGATGATGATGACGATAACGAGAATGATAAGATCAAGCAAAAGAAAAGAGCGATGGGATGAGAGATGTATGAAATGAGCGATTTAAAAAAAAAATGAAGAATAAACCAAACTGATCATGTGAAAGGACGGGAGAGAGAAATATACAAAGAGGGAGTAAAAGTGGTATTAAAGCTAGGAGAAGAGAATAGATTACGGATACGTCCTTCTCCAAATTATGCATAACATAAACATCCCTTGTAAATCGAGTCCATGACAAATTGTAGCATTAACTCAGCTGCAATATAATTACTTCTGCTTCTTCCAACACCATCAAAGTCCAATTCCGCTTCCAAATTACGTTTTTATATCGACCAAGTGCACACAAAACTCGTACCAATAGCTCAAGGATTTCGACCCGTTTGCCCTAGTTTTTATAACGCGCCCTAATTTATATAGCCTGTCATTTGGTGTATTTCTCACGGTATCTTCACACCCGAGTTATTTCATCTTGCAATATTAGCGTTCTCTTTAATTGATTTGATCTTTCCTCTTTATGTTTCCGTCTGTCTGCCTCTTTCTATGTATGTCTCTCCTCTATTTAGTTCTCTCTTTCTCTTTCTCTCTATTTCTATCTCTGTCTGCCTGTATGTATGTCTGACTGGCTGTATGTCTGACTGTCTGTATGTCTGTCTGTCTGTATGTCTTTATCCCTCTCTCTCTCTCTCTCTCTCTCTCTCTCTCTCTCTCTCCGATCTCTGTATAATCTCTCCTTCGTGTATTCTTTCGTTTTCCTCTTTTTTCTCTTTATATATGTTCCCCCCCCCTCTCTCTCTCTCTCTCTCTCTCTCTATGCCTGCCTGTCGGTCCCTCTCTCTCTCTCTCTCTCTCTCTCTCTCTCTCTCTCTATCTATCTCTGTATATGTTTCTCGCCCTCATATATTCTGTTGTTTTCCTCGTTTTATATCTGTCTCTGTCTCTCTCTCTCTCTCTCTCTCTCTCTCTCTCTCTCTCTCTGTCACCCCTCTCTCTCCCTCTCGCTCTCTTCACTCTCTCTTACTCTCTCTCTCTCTCTCTCTCTCTCTCTCTCTCTCTCTCTCTCCCACTATCGTATCCTATTCACTTTTATTCTCCTCTTTTTGTAACGTTCGTTCTCTCATATACTTTTAATATATTGTTTTCCTTTCTATTTCTTGGTTTGTCTATCTATCCTTTTTGGAATTTTAATAATGAATAAAATCAACTTTGGGATTCAGACGGTATTCATTTTGTTTTCTTCATATCCTTTTCTTCTTTTCTTCCAATCGTTATTGCTCGTAAAGTGACAGTCTACATAATAATTATTGTAATCATGTCTCTAGGCAAATAACAGGCATCTTCTCCCCTAGATAATGTTTAAAACTATTAGCCTATCATCACAGTTTAACATAAATAATGATTTTAAAAAGATCACGGAGACTGAAATTTGTGTAGAAAGATGTCACCTACAAGATTATCAATAACTTGCCATAGACTTTTCATGATCACTGATCTTCATGTGTCTCTATACCGTTCTGCATGAGCTATCACCACAAACATTAACCATGAACTACACCATTTGTCTTGTGGTTGAACTATTGTTCATCGAGTATTGTTGCTTCTGAGTGCCAAGGTTATTAGGCGTCAGTTGTGTTAAAACAGAAACCCATTCAATTGTATTTACACTCATAATAACTGTAATTTTGCAACCCCTTTATTCAATTCCCGTGTATATCCTATACCGCCAAAGACACATGTAACATGAATAATATTATACGGCATCGACTAGTTCGAACATCAATAACGTTACTCAGAGCTGACACGCATGTGAATGTTCCTTGCATTAAGGAGCTTTGGGGTTTGCATGGAGTGGAAGACAATTTCTGGATTTGGAACTCCACAGGGGTCGTTGACATCACAGCCAGGAAAGTCAAGGTAAACTGGTATTTCATGAACTTTGCCATCGACTGATTATTTCTGGAGTGAGTTAGCAGAAGAAAAAACGAGAAATAGATCAAAAGAGGAATTTGGACGGACATGAAAATGTTATTATTATCTGGTTGAACTGCTCTTATATATATATACATGTATTGTAATATACTCTTTAATGTAAAGCGCAAGGAGAATTCTACGAATTATTACGTGCTATATAAGCACTTTCCATTATTATTATTAATATTCGAGAAAGCCCCCCCCCCCGCGCCACCAATAAAGAGAATAGATAGGCCTATACAAAAATGGAAAGTGATAAAGCAGATAGGTTGAATGCTAAGAAGTAGAATAAGTAGAGTTGTACACTTGCATATTATGTAAATATATATTTAAACTAATATATGAGATAGACCGATGCACTTTGATAATTATGTTTCCCGTATATTAAAGAATTCAAGGGAAGTAGAGCTGGCATTAATGTTCGGCCTGATCAATGTTTTTATAAAGCTACCGAGTTAGAATTATTATCCTCGGGTATATATTCAAGTCATTGATTTAGTCGAAAGCATAATAGAAACAAAAAATCACCTATAGCATGTATAAATGAACAGAATCAGTTGATTTAAGTGGATGAGTGCGGGTGGGAAACGGAAAAGGAAGTAGATAATAATCATATCTGGATTTATAGTTATAGCGCTTAACACGAAAAACATCTCTAAGCGCTTTACAAATATTATTACCCCGGTCATTGTAATCAATTTGTGTACAATGTGCACCATCTCCGCTCCCGGTGAATATTCCTACCATTATGGTCACCGTCAGGGCATATGGCATCCTACCAGGTCCCTATTTATCTCCTGGGTATGGGGTGGCAAATTGTGATTAATGCATTGCCAAAGGACATTCGTGTACTAGATTCTCGAATAGATATGAATATGGAAGGTTTGATGGTTTGATTATTTGATTTCACCTGACTGCTAAGAAAACATGTGTATGCGTGTAAGTATGCAACCGGGAGACCGATGGCTTTAAGTCCTGTCTGATAGACTTGGTGATGAAAATGAATGCCTTATCAAAGGGCACTATAGCACATCGACTTGGTTCCGAACCCGGGACCTCCCGGTTACGAGACCAATGTACTACCACTAAGCCATCAAGACTCTATCTAAAATAAAATATGGTAGATTAGATATAAAAGGGATGGAGATGGGCAGATCGAGAGACGGAAATTGATCGAAAAGGAGAAAGAGGAGAGAACGAGAGGCGGATCTCTGAAGGTGTCTAGGTTTATTGTTCAATTAAACATTAACTAGGTACCATTAAGTTTCCTTTCAGTACCACATGGGGTAATATCAATACACCCCCCCCCCCCCTCACCCCCTCATCCGTCGCTTATTACGCTTTTGGCCAGCAGAAACACACGAATGAAACTGAACGAGTAGGTGTCCATTTTTGTTTGCTGCTCCGACATTAATTTAGCTCCTGCGACAATAATTGCTTCCGACTATTATGAAATCATCGAAAATATATAGTTGCGCTTTGGGGTCCTCCGACAGTGCACCGGCGACATAGCTCTGGGCTTTATTTCTTCAAAAGCATAGCGTAAGAGATGGAGTTGCAATATGTTTTAGGGTGAATTTGGTGTTAGGGGTTAGGTATACTGTTGGTTCTAAATATGAAGTTAGGAATACGTTTAGATCATATGAAAATTGCCGTGGAGAAATCGTCGCAGGAGCAAGTGTCGTCCAGCCGCACTTGGGTTGAGGCAAGGGTTTAGGGTTAGGGTTATGTAGGGCCTAATGGGTCTCGTCTTTAAGTTAAGAATTCGGTTACTGTTAGGAATTATCTGTGGAGCAAATGTCACCAGAGCATGTCTAACGCAACGTTTCGTTTCCCACAGCAATCATTTCGGCATCCATCTAAAATCTCTTGAAGATCAATTCCTCCCTCTGAGGATCATCACCATCATCTCGACATCATGGGCCACATGATAATGTCCAACACGGGAGAGTCAACACCAAGCTATATCTCACTCCTCAAGCGAGCGTCATTCAGAAGACAACCCGACTATGTCAAGGTAAGCATTGCGTCACTGAGTGCCGGTCGCACACAGGCGTCATTTTGGTGACGCAGACTTGCCTTGCATCAACGACTGTTGTGGTCTTTGACTCACTATTTGAGAGTGGCATTGTATGTAAAAGTGAAGGCAAATCTAAAAGTACAAATACTGCGTTTACATCACCAGTGTATATTATGGGCTCATTGCCTTCGCATGACTAATTAGCGCATGTAATATCGCAGTTGAAATGACGCTCCGTATGCGCGACAGGCATTGATACTTGTGTTGCGCCAAAATTGTGACGGGAATCTGTTTTCTGTTGAAGAATCCCGTATCATCAATTAAATGCATATATTGTGATTTTTTAGGTATAGTACAAAAAAAGAAAAGAACAGGGTTATCGTTAAAATGCAGGCCAATCTATATTTTAAAAAATGTATTAAAAAAAATGCAGGCCAATCGACGTAAGGTATCATCACATTTGGGGGTTTCGGAATAATTTAGCAAGAGCCTGTCAAAAAATTTGTGAACCGCGTTTTTATATTAATTTTGTCAGAGATTTGATATTGGTGTCATTGATGAATTTTTGCCCCCCACCCCCTCATTTTCGTAGTATGGCTCAGCCTCTAAAAGGTGTACCGGTAAACATGTCCACATCGCGGTGCTTGCTTTTTTATAATTATTATACCTTAATATTACCAAATTACAATATTAATTTAATTCCACAAGTAAGATTCAATTTTATTTTTGACAGGGATTGGGGGCAAAAGAAGCAAACATTTCTTTTATGTCAAACTTCCTGTAGGTGGCTGCCAAAATTGAGGAGGAGATTCGACTCCGTGACCTTCAGGAAAAATCCCTGTCGACCCGAGTAAATCATCTTAAGAATCGTTATTCGGATAAGATTCATTACGTAACGAAGACCATCGAATGGAAGATGGGTGGTAAGTTGATGCTTGTTCATAATGTTATGGCGCAGGAAACCGGTGTAAAAAAAAAAGCCGCCGCAGTCTTTTTAAAGTCTGAAATGAACTTGGCGCAGCAAAGGACTGGAATGCACAAATTATTTTAGCTCTGTGTTATACAGAAATGCCAAGCGTACACTTTGCTTTTCGTCATCTTTAAAAAAAAACGCCGGCGTTTTGCCGCGTCGTATTACGGTTAAAGACTTTAAAGTAGAGGACATAATAACTCATATGCGAATGATTAAATTGTACTCTGCACCTGGGTGGAGAATGGCTAATGTCTTGACAAAAGACGTTATAGTTTCTGACTGGGATTCGAACTCTTAAACCTTGGATTGATAGTCAAGTGTACCATCAAAATGTACCATCAAAAGGTTACCTATATAATGATATACACGATTATCGTCATATTCGGTACCCGATTATATAATTTCATATCCTATCATACGGATGACAAAATATTATATTTGCCATGATAAGAGTGTATACTAAAAGAAAATTTAGGAACATGATACAGTACAAGTAATATAAATCCTGGTAACAGCTAGATGCCGGCTCCTTCGTGATAAACCTAATGCACCCGTACGCTTGTTTATAATGTGATGAAATACCAATGTTCTGTGATAAATTTATGGATTGGGATGACGTGAAACTGTTTAATTGCTAAAAGGGTGCCGTGACTTAAAAAAAGACAAGAAGTCGAAACAACGTTGGTATACTTCATTACACTATTGATACCGTTAGTACATGACCAACTTGGTTCGATGAAAGCTTTTCTGTTGTTTCGTACGCAAGATTACCTTCAAGAAAAGAACTATCACTCTGAAACGCCAATCAATCTAAATCAATATGAGGGTGTATTGACCTGCATTGTAACTATGATAAATGAAAACCAGTCGATACAGGTAGACCAGAAATTCTAAGAACAAAACTATATATATACAGCTGGACTAATCTCTTATATAACAGGAGACATGTTTATTTGCAAGAATTCAAATGTTCTCAGATTTGGCTAGAAGGTTTACCCAAAACATTTTATATTTAAATTTGCATGTATTTGAATGTATTAACACCAAAAGCGTGATGAGAGTTAGCTCCGTATAGTAAGACATTTTCTCATTGGTTATCAAATCGTGGATGGGCGTATCTTAGTGAGATAAAAATGATTATCAGAATACAGATTTTAAGGGTATTTTTTTATCCAACTGAGATCAAATCTCCGATTTTGTATTAGATCAAACGAATGTCAGAATACTACTTCTTTTTGTCGGTTTGGAATAGCAGAACGATTTACAAAGAACAACAACTGCAATATACATAGTGATATTGACAATATATACCCAGGTAATGTTAAAAAGCGGAAAGAAAAAGTTGCCTGAATTTTGGACAAATCTGACATCAAAGTGAATAAGTATTGAAGTACTAAACTCATTGTAATGTCCATTATCAGACAGATTTTTTTTCCCTCCAACTTATCCACCAATCTTTGCGTTGGTGTTTTATTACCTCACAGACATGCATGACAAATGAATCAAAGAACCAGGAGCGATGCTCGAAATATAATGGGGGGGGGGGCATTCTTTTGTATAATAATAATAATAATAGTTCGTTCTTATAATAGAGTTTTCAGGACCGCAGGTCGTCTCAAAGCGCTTTACAAATATGTGTGGGGGTGATTGAACTCCCAAGCCCATAATAGAGAAACGCCATCGACCATAACTACATAGTTATTTGCTAATCACCGTGTACATTAATTATAATAATGTTCCTATTCGTCCAACGCACTTTGGCAAATGGCAATACCTATACCTCAACCGATTCCTTTCTCTGGCAAAACCTTCTTAATGTCACTCATTGTTTAGATCATGATCACGAACAAGGATAGAGCAGTTTCACATTACAAATCACTCAAACTATATATCCATCAAATACTAAGGGCGCGTTCATGCTTGATTTTGACGGCCAGAATCAGGCATCTGTTACGCGTTTAGTTTAAAACACGATTGCGTTCATGCTTACTTTTGTAGAATCCCCGAAAAACGGCGATCACGATCGCCGATCGTAAACTCACAAAAAGATGCGTTTACAATTTGTAAACGCGTTTAAATGGGGTCAACGCACTGACCTCTAGTGGGTCTACGTACGTAGCATGCGCACACAGGTTTGCGAATCCAGCTGAAGGCCACCCAAGGAGAATTGCCTGGAGAAGTGAGCATAAACAGTGCACCGTGGAACTGCGATTACGATGAGCGTTTACGATGAGCGTTACAAATCGCTCATTCTGCCTTCAAAATCAAGCATGAACGCGCCCTAAGTGTAAACGCACCTGAGTTCATGTAGTCTACATCATATTTTAGCATGATCCATTTTTCAACAATTATGATCGTCAATATTGTAATTCTTTTAATTAACACGAATTCTTTATTTAAAATATCAAACAAGTGGCTTAATAGCATCATTTTTCTGTCAAATCACCTCTTTTTAATGCGATACTTTGGCATTATCTCTTACAGAGCCGTTCATAAACTTTTGATAAAAATGTAAGAATAGCTAAGACTACAAAAGTGGGCGGAGTAGTTTCAGACAAGCGTGAGGTAATGAGTATTGTCAATATCGGAATGGAAAACATTTCTTTAGAGGCTTTGCATTCAACTGGTGATTTTCGCTTATTAAGTCCTGGCTTATCAAAGCTTCCAGACACCCATACAAAATTTGCATTTAAGATTATATCGCGATAGAAATAGTCGTATTTAAAAGTGAATCAATTCGCTCTGACACCACGCCAAGCCCAGTCTGTGTTTTTTTTCTCGGTTGGTTACGTTTGATGCATTCAAGAGTCTTCAGGCGTGCGCTGGATCTATTCAAAGAGGCAACTCTACCGGTATTATTTGTTCAAATTTGGCAGCTCATCGTTTTGTCTGCTGCACGAATCCAATGCTCATAGATTCTCACTTTTAAGGACTGTTTTCGTCTAAACATAATGTTCGGCCAACACACGAGTATACCGTTCGCTCAAATGCGGAAGCAATAATACGGGTCTGTAAACACTGCATTTGTTTGTGCTTGACGCCTATCGGGAGATCGTTTATTATCATGTTTCAATTTTGAAACTAAATCATGTCATAGAATTTGAGACATTTATTGATCGTTGTGTATATATATAAACTTTGTGAAACATAATTATCAGCTGTATATTGCACGTAATCTGTTTTAAATGACGTGCATTTAAACAGTGCATGCGAGCCCAACCAAATGAGATCTTTTGAAGTGGAGTGAATATTTCATGAACGGTTGACACCACTATTCGAAGTTTCTTCAAAAGGAGGATCATCTTGAGAAGTTGTTGCTATGGCAGACAACGCGCAAGAAATCCTTCGCTTCCTATCTCGCAGACAAGGCACGCCACTCAGACGACAACACTCCCAAAGTTACCGCCAAATCAAAGAAGGCGCGAACAGCGAAAAAACCATAGCCATAAAAATCAAGAAGCGCCTATCTGAGAGTTCTGTCTTTTCCATGTTCGTCTCGCAAACAGGTCTAGGTCTACCTTGGGTAGCCAGAGTGGACGATGTGTGGGACCAGAGTGCTGTGTACTGCAAGGAGTTTATCCATTCGAAGCTGAAGCGGTTGGGGTACATGGGAGGCAGCACGAAGAACGGGGTTCGAGGTTCGGTGGCGGCTCGTGGTCAACGAGTCTCGCCTGTCTGCCGGGAACTCACCCTAGTCGGGTCCGAGCTCGAACGAATGTACCCCACTCTCTACAAGGACATCACCAAGCAGCTCAACGTCACCATCTCGAGCGAGCAGATCCTCGAGCAGGTGCTCTTCGACGTCGGCGACGCCGTGTTCAAAGCGGGGATCACCTGGGCGAGGGTCGTCGCGTTCTTCGTTGTGTCCTCATCGTTATCAGTGGAGTGCATGCAACAAGGAAATGGAATCTTCGTCCACAGTATCACAGTGGCTCTCACCAGATACGTACAAACAAAACTTGTCAAATGGATAACACAACGAGGTGGCTGGGTAAGTTGTGTTTTGTCATCATCATTATTATTATTATCATTATTAACATTATCATTATAATTATAATTCTTTTTATTATTATTATTTTTCTTATCATCATCATCATCATTGTTATTATTATTGTTATTATTATTATCACAATTATTGTTGTTATTATTCTTTATTATCATTATTACTATTATTATAATTGTATCTATTATTTCAACCTGGGGCCTGTCTTTGAGATTGATTCGAATCAATCGCAACTCCTGTACACAGTTGCGATTAATTTAAAGTTGCAATAATTGATCGCAAATCTTTATAATACAGCGGGCCCTGGATCTATAGATACGGATATTATGTGGCCATGATTGAATTCTAAGACCATGAAAGAATTTAAGGTTGTTATGTAATAATTATAAAGCTGAGCTCGTCATAACAATATTTCATAAGCTGAATGTAAGATTGAATACAAACAGGCATGTGCCATAACAGGTTAACCTTGGCTTAAAAGTAAGACGAGACAAAAGCTAATTAGTACAGTTTTTCTAAAGGCTATATTTTCCAAATGTCATGGAGATCTAGTCATCTAAGCTACTTACCAGCTTTTCTTTGGTCGTCACCATATCTTCTGTCAATATAATGAAGCATGTTGATTTCTCAAAACAATTAATGAATAACCTTATCAATCACGACTAAATGACTCTGGTAGAGATAGAGTTTGGACAATAAATTGCAATTGAAAATGTCACACATGAGGCTATCATAAACATTTGTTTTCATTAGCGCTTGTTGTCCATGATCATTTTTAATCAGGCTTAGACTTTCATCTTCACACACAAATTTCCCAAAGATTTAAGATTCAATATTCAAGATTTTTTTTCCACTGACATGAAGACAATAAATTCATGAACAGTAACAACAAGTTCATCGTCAACAAGAATACATTCATGAACAATAACAAGAAAGTTATAAAGACATTGAAAACGTGGAAAAGAGGTTGTCTGTAAAAAAAAAAAAAAAAAAAGCACAGCTTGTTAAAAGCAGATCACCTTTACAAGAACGACAACAAAAAGATTTTTAAAGAAGTAGATCGTAGGAATTCAAAATTTAAGATAATTAAATTCAATGTTATTTCGGAAATCGGAACATGATTTTTATGGGATATAAAATGGGGTATTGATATTGAAATGACCCATTAGCTGGTTTCTCTAAAGTCTTCGGCGATCGTATTGAGTTTATTATGATTCCTATACTGAATGTGATCATAAAGGGGATCATGAGCCAACCGGTGTGTTGGCTCAGTCAGTAGAGCGTCCGCCTCACAACCGGAGGTCGTGGGTTCGAACCCCAGGGAATTTGGGGCGAAATACTCTGTTATTCGAATCCCAGATATCAGAAAGTACTCGGTGCTATGAACTTGACTTGATAAAAGTGCACTTAAAATCTTATTTACATTAACAAAAGGGCCAACATAACAAGGAAATAGGGTTATCCGGTTTACTTCTTGTAGTATACATGCAGGCAACTTCCAAAAGTGTTTATTGTAAAACCACCGTGTAAAGATCTCAAACTAGTAAAAAAATACAAAGGCAGACGGCACAAAGTTACAAATTTACGACAGATCTAAATACTTGTTCACACCCTGTTTGTTGGATTCTGCATAGAGAGAGAGAGAGAGAGAGAGAGAGAGAGACAGAGAGAGACAGAGACAGAGAGAGAGACAGAGAGAGAGACAGAGAGAGAGAACTCAAATTATTAGAATTGAGATCATGCTCAGATAACATTTCACTAAATTTCTTGGTTTGTTTTTGAACTACTATGAACATAATTTTGTATGAATACCACTAAAAATGTGTCTGTAAAATGTTTTCCTTTTTGAAAACGCTTTACTATACTCAATCCTCTACTGGTAGGGGTATCAGACTGTGGGGGGGGGGGGGGGTGCATTGCATTATATTCAGCGGTCGCGGAAAGATTCACGGTTATTGATTTTTGTTTTAATCATACTTAAATCTGATGGCATGTTGCGGTGTAATATACATTTGCGTTGATTAAACCTTGCTCTTTTCCCCCGATCGTATAGCGTGAATGATTTTATGTGCATAAATCAACAAAATAATGTATTCAATTTATCAAAGTATACGAGTTGTGCTACCGTCTTTCATAGGTTTGCTGCGGTTGCAAAATAACCTTTTCAAAACTATAGCTACTAGAATTAGAAATACAGAAATGTGAAGTGCCTTTTAGCGAACCGTCTGATCGGCTCTCTCATGCAAATATCCCTTGTTCAGTCTGTCAATGGAAACTGCGCTAACTATAATCACCAAACTGTTGTGAATCAACTGGCATCGGTGTATTAAGAACATACATGTAATAGGTTCAAAGGGTCTCTTTCTCTTCCTCCATTTAAAGCTTAACCGCTGAGAGTCTGAGCCAGTAGGTTAAGGTCTTTGATTGTAAGGTTAGGGTATTACGTCTAGGTCATGACCATAATCTAGAACTCCAGCCAATGCAACTTGGTCTCTCTCCAAGGGCGGATCAAGGGGTTGGGGC